GGGCGGATCGCGAATCATTTTATCGCCGAACGTTAATAAAGCAAGGAGAAAATTCGTGGGGAGAGAGAGAACGCACTTTGGAGCACGGTGAAAAAGTCAACAATCGCGGCATTTTAATCCAAAGAGGTGGACAAAAGAGAGCGACGGAAACGGTGAAGAAGAGAACAGGGGCAGTCGGTGCACGGAAATTCAAGATCTCCCGGGTAATCCTCGAAGTCGTTCGCCGTAAACGTGCGTTAAAATTTAATAAATTCCATCTGATAAAATTATCGAAACCTTGGCGGTAAAAGCAACACCCTTCGATCCGCAAAATAGTGGTTGAACATGACGTAAGCCATTGAACATGTCGAGCTAGCGGAAAATTGAAAGTAGGCGGCGATTGACCGATAAGAGATCCTGGATGGAATTTCTTTCGCCGAATTTTGGGTGAAACGCGACCCGGTATCTGTGGAATTGAAAAAGTTCACGACGTACCGTGAAGCCTTTAAGAGCCGTCGTATCAACTTCTTATCTCGCGCGATTAATCTCGAAGAATGTTCCGTTGGTGGAATCCAGCCAACGATATCGTACGTTCGATCGTGACCCGTGTTATCGCTTAGTCTGACGAGGCTGTCTACCAGACCACAGGAAGGTCAACCTCGTTTTCATCGAACGACTACTACGATCTGTCTAACGAGCTCGAAAACGTCTTCGCGCTCCCCTGCATGTTAATTGTTTCGCCAAAGATACCGCGTACGTGTAACTCCTTCGAAGAAATTTCAAATTTCAGGTCATAGAAGAAACATTTATATTTACCGAAATTGTACTATGTCGGTTTTACGTGACGGCTAAATTTTCCGATGTACTCCGTCAATAATAGTAAGCGCGCAAGTTGAACGAAAAGTGATAAAACTAGAACGAGAAAGTTGCTTTTCCCAACAGCTAACCGTAATTTATTCACGATCATCCACCGTTGCATACGCAAACTGCCCGACGATAAAATATTCACTGCAAGAAGTTACCGCGCCCTGTACCTCGAGTGCATTTAGAAAAATGGAAAACTAAAAACCCAGGTGCGAGGTAGGGGCGGATCGCGAATCATTTTATCGCCGAACGTTAATAAAGCAAGGAGAAAATTCGTGGGGAGAGAGAGAACGCACTTTGGAGCACGGTGAAAAAGTCAACAATCGCGGCATTTTAATCCAAAGAGGTGGACAAAAGAGAGCGACGGAAACGGTGAAGAAGAGAACAGGGGCAGTCGGTGCACGGAAATTCAAGATCTCCCGGGTAATCCTCGAAGTCGTTCGCCGTTTTCGGGAGCTGTACAAAAGGACAAGCCAGACGAGCCGGCTTCCCCTCGTAAACGGCCGAAACGGAAGCAGAAAAGAAGAAAAAAAAGGAAACAACGAGGTAGGAGGAAGAAAACGTGGAAACAAAGGGAAGGAAAAGAAAAAGAAGGAAGTGGAACGAGCAACGAGCCGTGGTAATTGGCCGAACGGTCGGTAAGTAATTTCAGGAACGTGACCAGGCGATGGAAAAGCGGTCGTCGGGAATGGAAATCGATGCCCGAGAGAACAGACTAGTTTACCGTGGAAGCCTAATTTCCTACGGACGATCCAGCCAGTATCTCCACTTACAATGGAACAATGGCGCGGATCGCGTGTCGCGCAGCTACGAATGCATCACAGATTTTCTGAATAATCATCGCGAATCGTCACAACTGCGAATTCACAACGTTTCATTTTATTTGCATACACTTGCCCTAACATTATCAACGGTAGAACTCTCTTATCAAACCCCGACTAACCACCACGATAAAAATATATCCCATATTATTTTCTCGACTTCACAATATTTCTTCCCATTATTTATTTTCACAGAAATAAGATTTCACAAGATGAGCATATTTTTACCGTTCGGTAGGTACTGAATCGGTTTTACGAGACATCATGTAACGCGTTCTTCCAGCTACAAAATTCGCAAAATTCTACCGTATGCATTTTGCTGCGTGATAAAAATTATTTGTTTGCTGGTCGGAGAACGCACAGGCAGGAACATGGCGATGGAGATAAGAAAGGAGAAAAAACATTGCAAAACGCTTCGAATGCAATGTTCCCGCGGTATAATAATATTTCGACGTTATTTCCCGGTGAACGTTTCCGCGGTGGTCGAGGTGTTTGCAAATAAAACGTTCCAATTGGAGAATGCGCGTTGCAAATAAAATGTTTCGCACCGTCCTGTCCCTCCTCTTCGTCCCCTTCGTTGTTTTTTATTGCTCCTATTTTTCCATGGGATTACGAGAATAAATCATGCTGCGGGCCCGGCTTTGAGATTGACGAATACATGCAATGAAATGCGGAATTTGTTTACAAACTTCTTTCCTTTTCATCCATCATTTTCTCTAGAGTCTAACTTTATTATTTTGCATCGTGTACTATCGTAATTCTACACGGATTTAATTCGGCGACGCAGAAAGAGAATTTTAGATTAAAAATTTACTTTTAATATTCAATATGACCTTATGTTTTGATAAAAATAGCGATTACATTGAGATTATTCATTTGACCACGAACAAAAAACGATTGCTGTCGTTGGAAAGTTAAAGTCCAATAAATTGAACGTCGAGCATGTTCTATTTTTTTTCCCGCTGGTTTTTCACTCGCCGAGGATTCGATGTTTCGAATTCGCAACGCGCATTAATTAGATTCTATCGCTCGCTAGTGCAAATGCTGGGAATTCAAATCGACTACGATCGAAATGAAAAATACGGGACACCGTGCCGTATTTTCGATGGCCGAAAACAAATTGCCGATATTCAAACGCGCATAAAAAAGAGTGATAGCACTTTTCATTAACACGCGATGAACACTAGTATAAAAATGTTAATTTATTCGTTTTCTCGCGGTGAGCTTTATTTCAACGAGGAACGAGGGATTCTCGAAAGGCGGGTGCATCACGAGGGTGAATAATACTAAAAAATAACGTTTCTTCGTTGTCTTGTGTTTTCACACGACCTCTTTTAAGCACGAGACACAAAGATAGGTCGGTGCATCGTCGCTCTCGAGAAGTGCCCTGTTTTCATTCTACTGATATGCATGCCACGGAAATGGAAAAATTCGCGAAGATCCCAGATATGTACAGAATGGTGTTCTCCCGGCAAAACGATCTCTCTTTCTCTCCTTCTCTCTATCTACGAGCCGGAGGACGAATCTTTCACTGTAAGAACTTTGCGCGTGTAACCCGTACAAAACTGGATCCCGTGGGTGTCATTACCGGCTTAAAAGAAAGAACGTTTGCAGCGTGAAACCCGGTCCCTACGCTGCACTTTTTACACGTACACGAGACCAGAGAAATCTCTATGGTTCGCGACCGGGAAATAATTCAACCGAGCATTGAGCGGAATTGCAAAAAGAATTTCGTGCCGGAGAAACGTACACCAAACAGTTCCGCGAACGCTTTTTCTCAATCAATAAAGCAAGACCATTTTATGTTACACTAACAAGGAACTGCATAGCACAAAGCGTAAATCAGACTCATTTCGAATTCCTTCAACGAATTGGTAATGCTCGAGTTTGTTCCGATCAAAGAGAATCGAACAATTTACGCTTCGTGTTTTGCAAAACGTGATTTTACATGTGATCATGTATGGTTGCGCTGAATAATTTAAAATAAACAAGGGAAGCAAACTCGTTCGAACTGTGTTCGGGAACATCGACGTCGATAAACGGAATCTATTATTTTCAAAGTCATTTCGCATGCAAAGAGAAAAACTTACAGCTTCGGAGTTTATTACAATTTTTTTTTATTTAGTTATAAACACGATCATGTTCGTACATTTCGTTACATCCTTCTAGCGATAAATAAAGACGCTTCGATAAAAATTTCGACTCGCTCCTAAAACCTTCGTCTCCTTACTTTTGTTCGGTTTAACTATTTATTCGTAGATGCTATTTGCGCTAATATTCGCTGAAACAGCTTTTATTGTATATGCAAGCATTTTAGAGTATACAGAAAACTTAAAATACGCCAGGGGAAAACGAGATACGACCAATACTTGGATTACGAGGTACTTGTATCTGTCTTAATAGTGCAATTAATGACTGAACTAGCACCGGGCAAAATGCGAATATTACGCTGCTATTATGTCGGAAGAGACTCCTTTTGTCTATCGTAATTCGCAAGAAGTGGAATACCGTAGTACATTTATTCATAGTTTACTGTAACACATTTTGTGAAATGATTTACAATACAAAATCTTGATAAGGCGTTACATTTTTTTATTTACGTAATAACGTAAGGACGTCTGGTATTTTGATTATTCATTAGCCTATTACTAACATCGCCTCGATTATACCTAAATACATAAATATAATTAAAAAGCTAATGTATCGTAAAGTAATTACATACCATTATGCATATACTTATGTACATATGATCCGTTAGGAATCCAGATAAAACAACGTCCACTGAAGGAAATACTATTTACCAAAAAATACACTTTTTTATATCGATATAAAGATCGATTAGTTTGATTTGTAGAAAATTCGCGTGATATCTGAGACTTTTTTTGGAAGAATCTACAATTACGTACAATACTCTGTTGCACCGTTTCGTGTTCTTGCAGCGATTAATTACATTGAATGTCACCTTATGATTATTAAATACTAAATAACATATTAAAATCAGGGAATTCGGTATGTCCCTTGAATTTGCAGTCTTCTTGTGAATACAGGTTTATCCACAATTTGAATATATTTAAATGCAATACCGTGATACTTTTTAAACACAAGGTTCTACGTAATTTCCAGGGAACAAACCTGTTATGCCATCCATGACCCCTTCCCACCACCCGTCGTCGTTCTTTTTCAATACATAAATTACAGAACTTTCCTGGAAGCTCAATTCATCCTCCTTGTCCGCGTAATAATCATAAATTGCAACCACTAAAACGGTAACATTTATTATATACTAGTTGTCTACCGTGTAAAGTACTTGCACAAGAAGATATCAGTGTGACGTACCTTTCTCGATATAATTCTTCGGTACCCAACCGGGCAGATCTTCTTCGTCCGGTACGATGGGCATGATAGCACCGCTGGACGGGGTAGGCCTACCAAATTGCGGATGTTCCTCTTGTTCTGGTGGCGGCGGTGGAGGCAATGGTGGGCTACTAGCACCGCTACTCCGACTGATCTGATGCGACAGTCTGTGTGGTAAAGTGTGATGTCCGGTATAGTCCGCCATATCGCCAGTTATTCCAACTAATGGCGAGGGTGGTGCTGCAATTAAACGTTAAGCGATATTATATCCTTCCGAATTCAATATAAGTAATTAATGTATACGTTACTTACGAGGCATGCTGTTATGCTGTTCTTGAACATATCCTGCTGTTACGCTAGGCGGTGCCGGTGGTGGTGTTTGCGGGTGGCTTTGCAGCGGATGAACTGTTCCTACTTGGGGCGGCGAAGTATGCTGAGTTAGCGTATTAGTGTGAGCATTGTGATTTGTATTATGAGCTGCATGAGACGTGGTATGCGCGTGCAGTGGTAAGGTACTGTAACCAGGACCACGTTCTCTTCTTGGATGACCTAGTGGATAGTTTGGAGCATAATGACTAGGAACTTGAGGTGGAGCAACGGCTGGCGGTGTCCTGTACTCTCGTGATCCTTTACTCAATGTTCCTAAAAAAAAATTGATCCAATGTTGAACTATTCCAAATAATTTGAAAGTGGAAATATGTTCAGTACACCTACCAGTTCTTACTGTCTGTGGAGGAGTGGGTGGTTTTGTAGTAGGAGCCGGTCCCACCATGGCAGCACCCAATCCTGAACCAGTAGAAGCTGCGCCTAAACTCTGAACGCTTCCTTGACTGCCACCACGTTGCTTGCTTCTGGGAGTTCCACTGCTACGTACTCCGTGCCCAATGTCATCCAAGATAGTGTAATCAATACTTTTTCTCACATATTTAATTGGTTTCTCAGGATTTGCTGGAGCAATAATTTTGTATTGGCGTACTGTAACTTTGTTAGCTGTTAGAACTCCAATTTCCCTTCTAGCTACTTTTTCTTTGTGTATCATAACTGTTTGGGCAATATGGTTCATTTGGCTTTCCATTCTAGCGAGCTGAGACGTTTGCAAATCCAATAATTGTAAAAAATTATAAGCAAGCGTATTTATCTGATAGGCTACACTGGCCAACGACTGAGTAGTAAAGTTTTTTGTTTCTTCCAATGCTATTCGTTTATTTTCTGCTTGAAAATAATTTGCCTCGCAATAATCGGCAACCCTTTCTAAGTTTATATGATTATCGGCGAGGTTGCTTCTGCCTTCAGGAATTTCCTGACCAAGAAATGCAGCTAGCTCCGCCATGACTTCAGAGTCACTGCCTACTCCTGATGATACAGAATAAGAACCTGATCCTTAAGAGAACCACAGGAATATTTAAGAATTTATATAAATATTGTTTGTTAATGTGCATGATATGAATGACGTTTGGGGGCAAATTATGAAAACGTTATATTTTAAATATTTTTCTTAACGAAATAAATAATCTTAATAACAAAATGATTGTACAGAAGTTGTATAGAAATTATTAAATAATCTTGAAATTGATTAGACTTCAAACAAGGAGGTTATGTAACTTTCATGCAAATTTATTTCGTGAAATTTTCCAAGAGATAAGAATAGAACGCCCTTCCATTAAATTTTCATTATTCGAGCGAGAAAGTGAATTATAAATAAACAATAATCTTTCGAAGGGCGGTGTCTTTTACGCAGGGAGCAAGATGGAGGCGAAACTCAAATGACTTTAACATTTCAATGAAAATGAAACATCGAATGACAGAATAAATGATATCAAAAAATAGAAAATGAACTAACGGTACTCAGCCATATCGTAACTACCAGCTACTACACCTTCATTAATTCATAATTACCAAAGCTCTCAGAAATTGATAGAAAATAAATAATAATTTACGTTACGCGACACGACACTCAACATGAGCGATACGTATACACTGAAACACTACTGGACGGCATTCAACGGAGTTCGCTCGCGGTGAAACATAACTGTTCTTGAATTTGATTAAATTTTAAACACGAAGATAACAGTTATTGCACTTATTAAATACAATCGGACATATTAAACTCTGCAAACGAAAAGGAAAAGATGTTTGAAAGGGAAAGAAAACTAACTAGATGACAGCAGTCTAGGAAGGGAATGACAGATATACGTTTCGAGACCTCGTGAGAATCGTATCGATTATTTTTTCGAGACATGGAACAGTATTACAAAATACAGTAATTATATCGTACATTATAAAGACAAGTAGGTAGCAGAAATTTTTGTTGCAATTATTGAATCGGACATTAATATATTACAATACGACAAATCAAAATCTTTGTTGCGTTATCGACCGTTCGAGTAAGCACAATTGGTGTATTCCATTGTTATTGACAATTTAGACAAGTGGAGGATAAGTGTGCGACAAAGTCGACGACTGTTTCTACAATTATATACGCCAGGTTCAATCGAAATAGATAATATTCGCGACTATTCGGAAAATGACACTTTCTATGTGCACACGTGAAGCTAGCAAATCAATGCGAAAAACCTGATTCGCGAGAAAACGATCGTTATCTCCTATTAAATTGTTTAAAAAACAAGTCAAAGATGAACAATCTCCTAAAAGAACTGGAAGCATTAAAAATTTCGGGTGATTTTTCCGAGGAAGGTTTATGGACAGCATGCATAGATCTTGTTCAGAGAAGCTATGTTCCTGAAAAAACTGTCGGTACTAGTCGTCCGTGTGACGAAAAAGACTTCAGAGAGTATAGACAAGTTGTAGACAGAAATTTGCGAAATATTAGGTCTATGCTCCAGCATATCATTCATAGTCGCAATGAAAGGAACATACAGATAGATTTAAATGCTTCAACAGTTAAGACTTTTACTATAAACCTGTTGTTACTTATTGGAGAACAACATGAAAAGAATGTTTGGAACACAGCAGAATCTGTGTCTATTTCCAAAGAATTGGTTAATGAAATATTAGAGTTATATAGATGTCAAAGCATTTCTCAGTTGTTAATGGAACAAAATAATTTAACCAATGTATTGTTAACGCTAAGGCCTAAGTTAATGAAAGATACTTGGAAAAGTTATCCAGCAGCTGTAGCATGTTATAAGTGGATTTTGTACCAAACGGAGGTTTGTGAAGTTCATTCGAAAGCAAAAGTTATAAATTTCATGTTATATTAAAATATATCTTTTCTTGTATAGAAACCAACTTTATATGATCATATTAGTGATGTGCTTCCAACAGCTTTAATAATTATTGATGATTATGTGCCAGAAAATATTGTTATAGGTCTTGAATGTTTGTACCAAATTATTCAACATTCTCATCTGGTAAAATTCCACATACATAGTTCATTATTTCATTTATTCTAATTGCGTACTTATTCATATGTTTTGTATGTTTAGAAAAAGGGATTAATCGACACAGGATATGATAAAGTAATGTTTCATACTTTAGAGCGTTTAACTCATCAAAGAGAAGTCAAATATGTACTATTGGTATATTCATGCATAACAAGTTTATTAGCCACCATTGAACATTGGGATGACACGTTAAATGTATTTGAAGTATGTGCCAATACATCTTGAAATATAGATATGAATATGTTGATTCATATATAAATTTTATGCCATGTATTATTACAGTGGACAAAGCGTGATGATGTTTTAATTGTTCTATTAGATAATATGGACTTTGAGCAAAATGTAGAATTACGAAGTGTTTATATGTTAAGCTTACCTCAGCTTTTAACCAATATTGGCTGTGCAAAATGGTGTGAAAAGTTATTGAGAATACTCTGCGAATATTGTGAACATCATACAGATCTAAAGACATTGAAAGCAACATTGGATGTAAGTGTTTTCACATATGTTTTCAGTTACTTTTATTGAATCCATTATAAATTAATTGTTATGTTATAGGCTGCAAAAACCTTCCTTCTGATGTTCCATTTTCGTGTAGCAGCTCACTGTGTACCTCTGTATACTGCATTCTTGAAGCTGCATTTTGATTTAACAGAAACTCCAGTATTCGACAAAGAAATAATGCAAAATCTAGAAGACTGTATTTGTTTATTATATAAATTATCTCCAAATGTAGGTTGTGCAGTTATGAATGATGATCGAATGCGTTCAGTGATTAAAAATAGTCTGCAAGTAGTATGCTTAGGTGATACCAAATATTTTCAATGAATGACCCCTGGAAGCCTGTGTTAGAATCTAGTATAAAAAATGGGCTATATTATTTAAGAAAGAAAACATTATTTTTTGTAGTTTCGTAGAATATACTATGATAATAAAGAGTACTTAGATGTTTTATTTATAATTGAAATATAAGTGTATCATACTTTTTATTGTAAAATAAACATTTTTGTTAGAATTTTCTTTTCCGTTTTATTATTACACTCTTAATTGCTTAAGTAATCTATTTATTTAATTACAGAACGAGTAATTCAAATTGAGTAATTCATAATGTTGTTTTAATACAAATAGTATGTACATGTAAAAATGAAATGTTTTCTCATTAAGTCTACGCATTTTCCTCGTATAATCTTATCGCAACAATTTGTTTCCATCAATCGTTTCTCTTTATTCTCGATTGCGGTATATAATCTTTATTTTCATAAATAAATATGTGTATGATAGTTGATTAATTTCTGTTCGTTTTACTTCATATTAAACAAAATATTAAGACAGACAAAACAGTATTTAATGAAGCAATATATATCTAACAAAACAAAAATATAATAAAAACACAAAATAAAAATTGATAAAGTGAAATTTACTCTCGTCCGTGATAAGTAATTTCGTATCACATCAAGGGTTTAGAAAGTTATAATTTAATTTCAATAAATGGAGATAAACATTATCTGCATACGAATAACATTCGACATATATGGATTGAAACATTCGATTCCTATATAAGTATTGTACTTTGTACATGTACGCAATTCCTTGGAAAACACATATCGTTTACTTGATTATTTGCTTTCTTCAATAACGAAAATTCGATCACGGGTAATCACTCCGCGTTCAGCTTCCTAAGGACGATGTCATCTTTGTTAGTTGCGATATTACTTTTGATCGTCGCGTACAAGTTTTATGAGTTTCTCAAATGTGTACCAGCAAACACTCCACCATGTAAGTTCCTTAATATTTTATTAACACAACAAACAAGTGCTACAAAAATAATTTCACTGCAACAGGTATTCCTCGAGTACCAGTAGGTGGATCTTACTGGCACTTGCTTTGGGGTGATTACAAATATCCATACAAAACAATTTCCTACTACATAAAGAAATTACACTCTAAAATTCTTACGTGTTATTTCGGTGGATTCATGGCTATTGTCGCGAATGATTACGAAAGTATTAAAGAAATATTGACGAGGGAAGAGTTCGACGGTAGAGCTACCGTCATAGACGTTTTCAAGGCAAGAGCTTTCGGAAAGGAGCTAGGTATCTTTTCCAGACGAAATTTCGAAATTTACTCAATGGATATGAAATTATACTTTTACGCTGAAAAATAGGTATCTTTTTCACCGATGGCTCATTTTGGAAAGAACAAAGGAGATTTACTCTTCGCCACATGAGGGACTTCGGATTCGGTAGGAGACACGACAAGTACGAAAGTGATATGATGGAAGAAGTTAACATCCTCGTCAACATGTTAAAAGAAGGCCCTATAAATGAAGAAGAAAAGGTACAAATATTGACAAGCTTTCAAGAACCACCCTTACGTTTCTGCATTGTTCCAGGCATATCTCAAACCCGGCTGTGCGCTATTCCCAGACGTTCTGTACCCGTACAGCGCGAATAGTATATGGAACATAATGTTCGGTGAAAGATTCGACCGTTCTGAATATCACAAACTGAGCTACCTCTGTCGAGCCGCGATGAAGTTTCAAAGAGCAGGCGACACGACTGGCGGTGCGATTGTCCAACATTGGTTCTTGAAGTATTTCGGCGATCTGTTCAGCTATAAAAGCATCATGGACGGCAATTATGGCATGGTCTACTTCATTAAGGTTGAACAATTATCTCACAATTCGACTTTCTTTAGATACAGCAAATTATTATCGTTGAGTTATCGCTACAGAAATACGTGGTGGACCGAAAACAGTCGGATTATGAAGATATCGAGAGAGGGCTGGTAGACAGATACCTGAAGGAACTGAAGAAGAATCGTAACGTAAAGTCTACGTTCTCGGAAGAACAACTGCTTATAGCTCTGACAGATTTTAGCTTTCCAGCTTACTCCGCGCTACCAAGTGTTGTTGTACACACCATAAAACTACTTATGCATAATCCTGATAGTTTGAGGAAGGTGCAAGAGGAAATAGATCAAGTGGTCGGGACCGGAAGACGCGTTACGTGGGAAGATAGGAAATAGTATGATCACAATACTATTATATTTAATATTATTCCACTGAAGCTTTTATCCAATAGGAAATTTCATTTTCAGTTTGCCATACACCGAAGCAGTGATACGCGAATCTCTCAGGTACGAAACAATTACACCCTTTGGTGTGCTTCACAAAGCGTTGGAGGACACTACTCTTTGTGGTTTCAACGTTCCTAAAGGTGCATTAGCAGTTACAAATTTACACGCAATGCATCACGATCCCGACTTGTGGGGTGATCCTGAGAACTTCAGGCCAGAACGATTTCTTAACGAGGAGGGCCAATTAGGCAAAGATTTCACGATGCCTTTCGGATTAGGTAAGCAACATTCGCTAGTAACTTTCAGTCGCAAAAGATAATGATTATTATTTTATTTGGTAGGACATCGCGTGTGTGCGGGAGAAACCTTCGCGAGATACAACTTGTTTGGACTGCTCGCTACATTGCTACAAAATTTTAACTTTCTGTTCGTGGAAGGACAACCAACATCGCTCGACGACAAACTGCCCGGCTTGATTACGACTCCGAAAGAAACGTGGATTAAAGTAGAACCGCGTGGTTGATCGAAAATTTGACTACGCTTGTTTGAACAGTGTCGTACAAATCATAGCGTTATAATTAATTATATTCTTTCTCATTATATTTCTTATCATTTGTTTCTCTTACGTCGTGAGCGTGCGATGACACTTGAAAGAAGGAAGAGACAAAGGCTGTATCATTACTATCACTAGTATCATTATCATTAATAATCAACTTAGGAATAAAATTGAAGAACACTATTTAAGTACTATAAATTTATTTTATAATTTTAGACAGTCAGACAAAACTTACATTACTTCAAGTAACTAAATACAATTAATATGTTCGAAATTCTGGAAACAACTATCATTGGTTACTTGTATTTTTTATTGCCTGAAAGTTGTCGAACTTTTAGGACGTTTAGTACTCACAAAATAAAAATGTTATTTACAGATATTGCCATAATGGAGAAGATGGGGAAGATATGCTAACTTTTATGTGCAGTAAAAATGGAGAACTTAAATTAGTAAATACATTTTAATGTTTATCTTCCCAAATTTTCCACTTTGTTTTTCTTTATACAGAGCATATATTAATTTCGTTATAATAGCAAAAATGAATAAGAATTCTATAATATATCTTTTTTACTTATTGTTATGATAATTCTTACATTTTAAAATATATTAAATGCTTGAAACCTTACTAAGGGAATTCCTGAATTCTTTAAAGGTATAATAAACAATAAAACGTATAATCTTTGTTTTGTTTGAAATATCATTCTTATTAATATTATTGTTGTGCTGACAAAGGTCATTATTTATTACAATAATTATTACAATTTCTTTTGCTGCATTTAGAATGTTTTAAATGATACCTCAAACACTAAATGAATATAAACTATTCTTATATGATTCAGTGTACCTATATTACATTCACTATAGGATTAACATGTACCATGAACTATCACAAACTTAGATCATTCAGAGAAGTTAATGAATTTTGTCAAGACAACAAGAGTCACTTAAAAATCAATGTGTTTGTACATTCAGCTGTACCAATTATTGGCAAGGCATTGTCTTTTAATATAGTACAAAAGTACCACAGTTTCACACACAGTATCTTCATATTTTCCTGTTATTAATGTGAACATACACAAGATTTTTGAAAAACTAACATTTTTCATCTTTTACATGTAAACATTTTTTGAATGGTATGAAATCAACAAGACATAAATTGACATTGTACATAGTTCCACATATATATTTTAATTATTAATCTGTATATTTTACAATGTACTGTTTCATGAAAGAACAAGAACAGTCTGTAATTTCTTATGGAAATAACTTTATTCCCTGTGTAGCAGAACATATAATCCTAGACATATTAATACCGCAAATTTAAATTTGGGACATTCATTCATATATATTGTAACCATTCCTACATATGGTAAGAAACCCCTTGCTCTACCAACAACATCTTTATGAGTCAACCATAATTGTCCAGGAGCATATAAACCTCTATCATCAACAGAATTATTATCACCCTTTGTTAGAAATTTAATAGTATTATTTTGTCCACCCCTAAAATCAATTAATATCATTTAATAATTTCATTTCCATAGATTAATATACCTATTGCCTCACAAACAACAAATACTTACTTTTCATGAAGTTTAAGTACTCTGTGCACAATTGGAATATCCCTACCCTCAACTTTAAAAACAACAATTTCTCCTACCCTAACAGGTTCATCTTGATAATTGGTTAAAAGTAGCAAATCCCCCCTGTGAAATGCAGGCTCCATACTACCGCTATAACATTCAAATAAAATTATACCTTAATAATAATAAGACTAGGAAACCTAATTCTCTCTTAGTATACTGCAGATTGAAATAAAAATTATAATTATGATTCTACTTATAATATTAAATACTTCAACAAGTATCAATAATTTTCATCCATATTTAAATAAATAAAGCTAAAAGTATGTGAGAGTACAATCTGTTCGATAAAATTAAACTAAAAATCGATAACATTACTTCCCAAACAAATAAGATTATTCCCGCAAATGATGTGTGAAGAGAATAGTTAGGTTAAGTATTCAAATACCTTAGGACCACTACGATCGGACTTTCGCTACCTGTTACGACCATCAAACCCTTCCAAATCATCAAGGCAGACGTAACGATCATACCAAAACTTAATAATTGATACAGGAACTGTCAAGAAAAGCAACAATTACTCCTAAATGCATGTCCTATGAGGGACCATATGCGCTTACACGTAAGAATCTTTGATGACCGAATTAAAGAGCCATTTACCTGCCGTTTATTCATCCGTCGAACATCGTCAAACAGAGATTGCAACATGGTTATAACTGTTTTTTACGAAAATTACAATAACCAAGTAAATAAAACAATTTTGACTATTGTTAGCTCGAATATAACCGGCAACAACAGTGTATCACCACGTCACGTAAACAATGAATAAGGAACACCGGAACAATCGGAACAGTTCATGTTTTATGCCGAACGAAAAACGCGGTATCGTTTCAAAGTGACGCGTGTTAAAAAATCACGTTAAACGTAAACGTTCATTCGAATAAAAAATTTGTAGAAATATTATTTTTGACAGAATATATATTATATAATAAGCGATGTACAGAATAAATTTATACTATACAGCAGAAAAATATTATAATAAAGAGTTAAGCCTGTCCATAAAATGTGTCTTTTTTTGTCAAGTTTTCGGATTTGAATCGGGCAACAAATATTTCTGGCGTCATATTGACTTCCGCATCGATCTTCTGAAACTGACGATCATGAGTATTTTCATCCTTCAAAATATTATATTTTTGCCCGTCCAAATTGAAGTCGGACCTCTTAATCGAATCACCGCGATTTTCCTCATCGAGGTACCATTGCGACACTATTTCCTTGAGCGGTTGTAATTCGTTCGCGTTTTGTTTAACTTTCTCTAACTCCTCGTTGCAAAGTCGTTCCACCTCCATCAGTTTCTGCTTATACGCGTTTGCTATCATTTTCCATCGAGTGTTATAACGCTTTTCTGCTTGGCTGAACGAGTACTCGTCCTGATATTTAGCCAATTTTTTCTCGTACTCGAGTATCGTGAGTTCCCTAAACGTGTCTTCAGAGATAACATCTGAAACGTTTCGTGAATTTACGCGAGTTGATCATACAATATTTTTTGAATAAAATTACCCAAAGAATTGGACAAAGGCGCTTCGGCTGCATAGGCTGCAGTAGCTGCACGCGCAACAGCAGTCGCTTCTTCCAGGGCTAACGAGTCATTTCTTTCGCGCCAAATTTGTAACTCTTCGTTTTCTTTCCGCCAAAGCTCGATTTCGTTTTTAAGTTCCTCCTTCAAGTTTCTCATGATATCTCGAAGTGATTGTATGCGTTCTTGAAGAATGTAACTATGACGAAAATATATGTACAGCTAACACTTATATGTCTGGACAAATTTTTACAAATAGCGGAAGTCCCTAAGTTCCAAATTTACCAAAGTTATCTGGTCATAATTGATATGGAACGATGACACTATTAATAAAGCTAGGTGATCTGGCTCACTCTGGACAAAAGTCCATAAATAATATTTATTATTATAACAACTTATTAACAACGATAAAATATCTTTTAAATAAAAAAGAAAAACAAGTTTCCGTTCCTTGTGTCAGAGTTTCAGTGGCGAACCCTGGTGGCCGAAGCCAATACTAGATTTTAAAATCTTTTTCCTTGAAAAGTGTCAGCAAAAAATCTACTCTAAAGTTTGAATCAACTTTTTCAGGTAAGGACACATTATTTTTGGTTATACTATTTTGGAATACTGTACAATACTTTAATTGTTTATCCTCACGGTCCTCCCGTGCTGACTGTGCATGCTCAGGTGAATCTTCCGGTTGTTCCAGAACAGCCGAGAGCTTTTCTAACGAATTCTCATTATCCTTAATCTCGGTTGCACATTCATAATTTAATATATTTCTGAGATCTAAGCTGAATTCGAACTCTGTTTTATTCTTTTCTCTACACTCGTCATCGGATGACTCTTTGCACTGATTGACAAGAGTCTGCACAGTTTCGCTGTTGCTCGAATTCGTTGAAAGTTCCGACGAAGACATGTGCACGTTTTCCATTTAGCCTCGGATTTTCACTTCGTCGTTTCCCAGCTGGATAGTTTAGAAATTTAAGAATACGATTGAAGTTGTCTTTCGCTTCTCGCACTGATAGTTTACTGTTTCTTTGTGGTATTTTTTTAATATTCGATAAATAATAAGTCAGTGTTTATAAACATTGTCTAGTGGTAATAACAGATAGACCGTCAAGGTGAACCGATAATTTTGCTAATAATTTATCTGTGCTGAGGACGATAGAAATATTCGAGGTCGCTTTTAATATATCTCCTGTGTTTTGTATTGCATTTATTTTTCATGTCTGCTTCTGAGAACAAATTATCTAACGTGGTACCAAGCAGGTATGTTCGCTGTATTGAATTTTTGGTACAGGATGCGGGTAGAGTGACCTCTTCTTAGCGACAATGTGTTAGTTTAGGAAGTTATTATTGATTTCTCTGTGTTGAGACTGAATGTTTAAAGAAATCGATGATTTCCTTGTAATATAGTATTCAAATGAGGAATAAGTTCCGTAGAAACGTAATAAATGAATGAAGTTATTTTTCATTCAATTAGAATCGTATCGTCTGTCATGTTTGAACGTTTAGCTACGTTAGCACAGGTTATGTGCATTGGTTTCAAATGGTGAACATATAAGTAATTCGTTGTATTTATTAAGTTAAATACCAAAGTGTTGATCTTTGTGTTAGAATTGTTCTTTTAACGTAACGAGAAAAAATATACGTTTTGAAATATGGTGATGAGAAGAGGTTAATCGTAATTTGGATTGAAAGAGAGTTACATGTACAAAGTTCTAATTTGAAAGAAAACATGTTTGTATATTTCTGGTCATTAGTGTGGTGGTATTTCAGACCTGTTATAAAATGGTTACTACGTCAAACAACACAAATGTGTGAACTTCAGAGGATTTGTTATGGAGAACCATCTGGAGCACGACGGACATTAGCCATAGAACAATCTCTTAAATTGTCTAGAAATGCTAATATCAAAACTCTTGTGGCCCATTTGAATGATCTAGCTGATCAGCACGCGATAACAACTAAAACTGAACGTAAAATCTTAGAGGAAGCTATTAGAACAGTGTTGGTAACTAAGAAAATAAATCCAACTGCACATCCTGATTTTGCTAAATCATTTGGCAAGTGCATAGAATTAATTTGGGGTTATAGACAACTTTGCATGGAATGCGAAGAGCTTAGAAAAACACCTTATGATGCTGATAACCCAGAGCATGAATTGTTATTGTTGAAATTGTGGAACTTGTTGATGCCTTATGAACCTTTAGATGCCAGAGTTACTAAGCAATGGCAAGAAATTGGATTTCAAGGAGATGATCCAAAAACAGACTTTCGTGGAATGGGAATTTTGGGTTTAGAAAATTTAGTTTATTTTGCTCAAGAGTACCCAAGTGCTGCAACACACGTATTATCCCATTCTACGCATCCACGTTATGGTTATGCGTTTGCTATTGTTGGTATAAATTTGACAAGTATGGCTCTGAGATTGTTAAGAGATGGAACTGCTAAGACTCATATTTATAATTCTTCAAAAACTTTACCAACGATTCGTGCCTTTCATCAGTTTTATTGTTACCTGTTTTATGAATTTGATGGGTTTTGGATCGATTCAAAACCAAGCAACATGATGGAGTTCTCCTCCATACAAGAAAAATTTGAAAATAGTATCAGAATGGCATTGGCTGATTCATCTACAGTCTTTAGGATAAATATATCGGTTGATAATGTTTAAGATAGATGCAATATTTTCTGTTGATAAGACCAAAAATATCATACAGGGAACGAATATAATTCTATTACCATAATGCACAGAGCTAATATCTGTAATATATTGCATAATATATTGTGCACAGTGTCTTGTGAATGAATATAGCAACATTATTGTGAACTATGAAAGATGTAAAAGTTATTTTCAAGTCATTAAGTTACAGAAAGATGTAAAAAATCTTAAAGCCTTTTATATTATATTTTTACTTTATTTTTCTACTGGCTTATCAATAAAACTAATAAAAGAAATCTATGCGTTACCTAACGAACGTGAAAAAGGTTACGTTCAAACAAATTCATCTATTTAGTATGAATAAGTTAAGGTGCAATGCATGTTGAAGTAAATATATTATTTTAAATTTATTTTACTTACGTTAAAGCGGTGAATACAGACGATTCCTTTTATAACTTTAGGTGCTTTTTCATGGGAGAAAAATATACCATTTACAATTTTTATTTAAGAATATTTATTATAAAACATAGGGAATACTTTTGTTAAAAAATTAATCTTATTATTAATTATCACATATGTTTTATATAAGGTAACAAACACAAATGTCGAAAATGTAATGCATATGCATCAGTATCTTTTTTGAACAATTATGGGTACCAATAAGATATATTAGATTGTAAAAATATATTTTAATTGTTACCTTTCAATATCAATACAAATTTAATTTCGCTTGATTGACAAACTGTGCTTCTATAAAAAATTATAAATCCTAATAAATTGGCACAGTACCCATACATATCTTTGGTATATGACAAATCAGTCTTTCTTCTGAGGCATGTCGGATTTACGCCTGAACTTAGAAGCTACAGAAAGGATTATGAATACACCAATTGTTATACTGCCGAGCTTCATTACCCATGGATTTTCACGGAGGAAGTTTGCAATCGTTTGTACGAAATCATCACTGAAAAAAAATTTAATTGCATTAAAATATTAGGCAACTGTTCAAAAACGATACTCTGAGGCTAACAAAAATGTGTTCAACTTGCAATGGGCTTTGTGGTACAGGAACAGTTTCAGCACGTGCGTTTCTGTACCATTCTTTAGCAAATGATACAAACGAATTAATGTCGTATTTCGGGATCTGATAACGGTACATTTTACCATGTCTGAAGCTGCAAGTACAAAATAAATTAAATTAAATAACATAACAATAACCTGTGTCCATTCTATTCATAACAATAATACTGTTTCATTTCCTAATATTTTCCAATCTAAACTTTGATATATTTACAATATAAATTCAGGTGTTTCAGAGATATTAAATCTTCTTCCTGTAGATGCACCAGTTGTGTGCTTATCAATGCGAGCTACATTAATTCTTCGTCTAAGCTTTGCACCTACAGCTTCCCACCTCGCTATCATCTTTATAAATTCCATGTTATCTGTACTGTAACTGTTTTAGAATAAAAATGCTGCATTAAACATTTGTGAATTAGAATGCATATATTTAAAATGTAACTGAAACTTACAACATGACAAACCAGTCTCCAGTTGTAGCTCCACTGCTTGCTTGAGTTAAATGTTCAAATGTATCATCTGTTAACTCTATTACTGTAGGTTTATTGTTTTCACTAAACATTGTCAGAATTTCTTCCTCATCTAATGGACCTACAAAAAATATATGTGAGATATGCATTTATAAATAAATAGAAATAATTTATATTTCTATACCATCATAAAGTAAAGGTACTCCATGCCTAAAGAATACAAGTGCAGGTTCCTTGTTAGGACTATGCAGATGAAGCAACTGACTGTCAACAGCTTTGACGACCAAAGCAGACAGAGAATTAACCAGCTCTTCTCGCAAATGGATCATCTCATTTTCAAAAACGTCACATGCATTACAGGACTTCCTTGCTATGAACATTGTGAACATAAGTCAAAACATAACATTTTATTAATAGGTTATATATCACAGGTTATGTGAGGCTATCAAAGGCTCAGATACCAAAGGATCTTTGATCTATCACGCTAAATATAACTTTATTCAAGTTTTAGCAATTATAGTCCAGAAAATATGGATACAAATACAAGTCAAAACTCACTGAAAAGCACGACCACATATTTCTCAGTTTTTATCAGATTCAGTAGCTCGTCATCACTCATTACTTCAAGATTAGTAGATTGAACACCAACGAAGCTGCATATCAACCCAAAAAGAATTATTCGGAACATTTTGTGTCAAGACAGCTGTACAATATTCCACGTAGTATTTTTGCCGTATGTGATTGTACATACGTCGAACAAGTTGTCGAACGCCACCTATCTTGTCCCCTACCTGTAGTCATTGCACCTACACATACGTTTGGAACTGGAGGCATCTGAAGGATGTTTGATGTTACTTATAAAATAGTTTTCTTTACAAAAAAATAATGAGATGTAAAAAAGAAGTAAAATGATTCAACAAAAGTTGTAGCTATTATTTCAAATAAAAAACGTTAAACCTCCTATCGCAAAAATTTATTTTAACAACTGCTATCGTTATCCGATACTTCATGGTGATGTCACTGTCATGTGGACTTTTAATGTATGATGATATAAATAACGCGTATTGTATGCACGTATCTGTATAAAGTATGATATTTCTCTTTTCTGTAATGAATAAATTACAACTTGATAGCCGCGTACAAAAGGTCAGTGGCACACGATAGAGCCGACTTTAATCGCAACACGCAATGCTTGTTGAAGTTTACGTCAATATTTTAGCATCTTTATGCGTGCAACGTCTATCGAATGAAATCAAACAAAATTGTGGAACAACAGTTATCGAGGCCGAAAGTAAATCACACTATAATTCTCGGCTTTTATAATGCACCTTCGATTTAAGTTAAATGATATGAACAGAAGGTGTAGACTTATTCTGGGAGGTTTCTTAATGACATCAAGGTCATTGAACAATAAGTTCTTAGAGATATAACAAGTGATCTCCACAGTGTGAGGTATTCATATTGGACGTAGTTTGAATTGAGACTATTTAATTTTGGAAAGAACACGAAAGTCTCTAAGCACCCCTAAACGTTCTGGTCATTTTTCTGGAAGTTAAGGGTGCTTTGATAAGGCTTTACAGTCCTGGTCACGAGGTAGCGGTGTCGAAGGTCGAAAGGTATAGTGGTAGATGGCAACTACGTAAATGGTGACGTATATAGTTAGCGGTGGTACGTCGAGGGGGATGTGCTGGCATGTGGAGAATCGACTCGAGGTAACCAGCACAGGGTGGCTGACTTCGTCGAAGCGAGGGAGGATTCACGGGGTGGTTGGCAGTCGCGTGCTCTCATCGTCAGGTGAGCAGCTTTTGTATGGATATAATCGGTTTACCAAAGTATTTTCGAAAGTTCACCGCTACCTGCATTCACTTGCTTTTGTCCTTGTGGTAACACGCAAAACTTCCGCATTGTCGTGAGTATTAAACTTAATGTTACCCTCCGCAAAAATAACATCGCGCGAGCTTGCGAAAGATAAATAAACGCTCGAGGTGATTCTACCGGGTCCAACCTCTTTATCTCGACGAAGTAATTAACGATTTGATCGATTGTTCCAATTGCTCCTTTTTATCGTATATTTAAACACTTTTTAAATCGATCCTCGATCATCATTGCAATTCCTTTTTCACGGAAACATGATGGCGCCGCGTAATGGTATGCAGAATGTTTTATTCAAACTGGTTCAATTTTTTAGCAGTTATCTCGAATCGAATGTGTTCACGCTGTTTTTAATTCAACGGGGAGGAAAGTGGTTTTTTCTGCTCTATTTGAAAGTAAAATGTTTAGTATTGCAGAAGGCTATTGTAAAATGTGTGCTTCTTTCTCTGTGGTAATTAAGATCGAAACGAGAACGCACGTTTTAATAAATCTTGGTCCGATGTAATCTGTACGTTTAATATTTTTTTTTCCCTTCTTTTCCTGTTACTCTCGGATAAGAAAGAACGAAGCGTTTATTAAAGTTTAAAAGTTCGAATACCGCGAGATGATAGTGTTTCATTATTAAAATGAAACTCGCCAAGCATCTCGTAACAGTGTCGTTGTTATTCCAAATAAAAGGACATTGATGATATTATGCAAGCATGCTTCGAAGTCCTTTCAGTTTTATTCCTAGCTATTCGCGTTCCGTACATTGCAAAATATCTCGGCGCTTTTTAAAGATATTCTCATATATAAATCGATGGAAAAATTTCTTACATCGTTCAGCGTTATTAACTTTAACATTGTTTCAAGAAAGAAAATCTAACGGTTAGCTTATGTTAAAAATGAATATTTCATAATAATTTCTCTCGTTCGGTAAATGTAACGAATGCTATCAAGTTTTGAACAAATTTACACAAATTTATCTCTGTAATTAGTTTCATTAATAACGGCAACAAAAACTGAAACGTATTAAAACCGCGGATTTATTTTCCTTCCTCTTATTTTTCTTTTAACAAAGAGTTCATTAAAGTTATTATTATCCAACGTACATATTTTCTCGGTGCAATGAGCTCGTTTTATAAACCGAAGAATAAGTTGAAACGCTTTTCCATTCAGCTCGAATAAAAATATACCGATGTACGTAGAATAATCATCGTTTCGTATGCAAATTGCAACATGAATACCTGTTTGAAAGATTCTCTATAGTATAGAAACACAGATTCAAATTCATACGAAATGCATTTACCTAAACAAGGTATTTTCAAGCACAATTATATAATTGCATTATACGACGTCGCGTTTCCTGAAAGGAAGATTGAACCTTGTTAAATCGATATCTAGTAATAACGATATCAAATGCTACAAAGAGGACTCGACGATGTTATTTTTGATGTTTGTCTTGGGTATTCCACATGTATTGCTGTTATAAGGAATCATTTCACAGAAATTCCAATAAACGAAGCAAACTAAATTCCTTTCCGCTATTAATTGAATTTGCTTTCAAAACACTAATTCGATCACTAAGAGTTAATTGATTTGCCAATCTCTGGATTGTTATTAAAAATTCAGCCCTTTTTCACTGCAATCGTGAACGACTTTTAGCGACACCAAGTCGGATTCATGCGTTCGATTCACGCACGTTCACGATGCTTGTGATTCGTTCGTCCTTCTATTAAAAGGGGGACCAGCAGGAGGCGGATGGCGCAGGAAATCCCTGAGACGACTTACGTGCCGGAAGTGGAAGCGAACGCGAGAAAGGAGCGGGAACGTCGAGCCGTTCAAGAGGGAACCGACTTGTGGAGACGACGGAAGGAGGAGTTGCAACGTCAAAAGCAGCAAGAACAGCGTGAAGTATGCGTCGTAAATGGTTTCAAGCTTGTACGAGCACCGTCTGCGTCACTGTTCCTCGATGACCAGTCTCTACCTTTTATTTCTTACGGTTTCGTTGCTTTTGACCGATGAAAGATCGAACACCATGGTCTTCGTGTCGTCGACAAGCCCTCGTGTTTTCAATCTTGCTGGGTTTCCTCGAAACTTTGTGAAGGTTTACGAGCTTGCGTGTAAAAGACTTCTCACGAGTGCGAAATCTTTTCAAAACGTAGTCGAATTACAGCAATAGTATTAATAAATTCTTGCAATCGACGATACGCTTTGTTACACGTTACCTTTGCTTCTAAGATTTATGGTCGAAGGAACAGCGGAAAATATCGTAAAGATATTTCAAACCCCTTGAAAACTCTTTAACTCCGAGTGATGTGCAGTTACGAAAATGATTTATAGCGGAAGGTTTATTTGAAAGGCACGAAAATTTTCAACGAACTAGCGTGCACGTATTTGTGGTCTCTCTTTCAACTTGGCATTTCATTTTCTTCATCGGAGTTTACGAGTTCGTGCAAATGGTAAAGTGATTCGTCGAGTGTAATTTGTATAAACCGTATCATTAATGACCACGCCGTAATTATTGCATGTGTTTACCCTTCTAAGCGCGAGAAATGTTTCGCTAACGAGCGTAAACGTCTCCGAGTTTTAATAGAACCCCACGTACCTTTCATTCATTGTTTGTTGAATCATGTTTCTTTATGATTTTTAACGATGTGCACGGCTCGAATAAGTTGCAAAAATACTGAAGTGAATTAATAAATAATAATGGAAACTGCTTTAACACATATCGAATTAAACACCTTTAATAGAGGGGAAGAATCAGTTTCGTTTTCAATTAAAATGAACTTCAGCGTTTTAATTTTGTCCCACGGAGCGTATATTTTATAAAGTCATAATTTTACCACGAGATCGTTGTAAATATCCATTTCATACAGAGGAGTCAGAAACGGGTATTATCAGCGCGTGGTAAAGTATTCTCTTTTTTCCATGGGGAAAGAAGAGAAAAATTTTTGGTAAAAGATTCATACGTGTACCAGAGACCGCTGTGGTAAAAGATTAAAATATTCAAAGCCGTAAAGTGCGTCCGAATTACGTATTGCATAGTCGGATTAAGGGCGGTTTAACATTAGCATTGCCATAAAAGAATGTTTTCCCAAGAAACAGGCTAGTTCATAATAATAAGCATTTGCCAGCAGATTACAATGATGATTCCTTGAATATTTGGCACGATCTTTACATTGAAAATAGAAGTAATCGGAAACTCGTTTCGCGAAATGGATTATTCCGTGCTTCAGCGAAAAGGTTTCGTTTGGATTCAAAGTAAAAACCAGGGGTTTGGAAACGGTTACTTTTAAGAAAGAAAAAAAAGGTACAATATCAGCACCGACATGAAAATCGTGCTTTTCTTTTCTTTGCAAAACGTATATATGATATTTCTATGGCACAGGATATTAGAGAGAAGCTTTTTTAAAAGGGGGCTGTACTCGTTCCATGAATACATTTATGAAAACTCCTCGTTAGTGGGTTAATAAAATACTTTGGCGAACTATTTCGACGTTATTTCCATAAAAATTCATCGGAGATTATATTTTTCCTTTATCGCGTCATTAACAGAAAGTTGAAAACGGGTTTCGACGGAAGTTGCTGTTTAGCAAAGTTCCTGCTTGCAGAATATTGATCTCGAGACCTTACCCAGCGAACGTGGAAGCTTAAAATCTTCCTCGAATCTCCGACCGCTTTTTTAAAATGTCGTTAAACAACAATAGAGGCGCTTTTTGAAACAGTTTGGACAATAAGGACTCGATGAGCTCGCAGTAGAATCGACCAGTGTTATGTCAGACAAAAGAACGATGTCACTGCTCGTGTAGATGTTCCACTTACGTGGACCTATTATTTTCTTACTAATATAAATCCGATACAATACACTCTCGTTATATCGCCATCGACAATATAAAGACTACAAAACATAATAAAGAATTTGCAAAGTTAAATTCTAAAAGATGTACGCTTTCAAACTTTAAGCGAATATTTAATCATCATAAGTGAGTTATTGCATATGTACTCTACGTGTTTGCATCTCGCCGTTCTTTTAAGGAAACAAAACATCATTACGCTAGTTTACCTTCTAAGAGGTGTAGTATTTTCAGTCAGCCGCAAAATTAGGTTTATAAATCACGTTTCTCTTTCTTTTTCTTTGCAGCTCCAGAAAATCGTGGAGAGTTATTCGCCTTGGGGTAAGCCAGGAGGTGGCGCTCCTTGCGCAGCCACCCTTCGGAAGAAAAACGTCCCTCTGGAACCTTTGGAGCCAGTAAAGTGTCAGAATTTTCGTCAGGTAAAGTTTGCCGTGTTTAACCGTCCGAAAATTGATCGCGTAACGCAAAAAAAAGGATTAACGCATCCGTCGCGATCGTTGCTACATCGCAAAATCGACCGTTTTCCGTCGGATAACAGGCGACATATTTTACCCGATATCTTGATTCTTCTCACACCGAAGAATAAAAAACAACATGCCTGTATTCGTTGCGTTTTTTTGCTAGCGCTTTTCACGTCACCGTGTTGTCGATTTTGCAGACAATTCGATTTGTTTCAATCAATGAAATATAAACGGTTCGGGGTGCAATTATTTACGCTGTAAAAATGAACAGCATTGTTTCGCGTGAACACTAGGGGTTTTAATTTCATTATGAAAAGCGATAAATAATGAGTGACGGTGAGGTGAACAAAATATTGTGAGCTTCGAGTAAAAAATGTAAGTTGCAACATTTTTGTTATTTGTTACCGTGTGCAATGTTTCTTTTGTTCTTGCGTTTTGTACTATTACTGTCGGTCATCGAACAATTGATCGTTGGTCATTTTTTAGAGAATCGATTTTTATTGGCATACGAGGTTGTTAAAGTTTTAATGGAAAATAGAAGAGAAAGAGACCAAATTAAAAATCCTGTTGGTACTACGTCAATGTATAGCGTGGATAAAACCGTGATTAAAGTGAACATTCTTTCACAAATTGCATGCCATTCATTCATCATTCGTGGCGTTAAAATGAAAACTCGTAAATCGAATTCACGTGAAAAGCACGTACACACAGGGACACACTCTACCTTTTTTCCTTTTCAATTTTCAATTAGTCACGTAGCTTTATATCTCGTTAACTGCTTCTTTGTGTTAACAATTTCAGTTTTACGCTAGGTTAACAAATTTCGTGGACAAAACCAAAGAATGGCTCGTGACGTCGAGACAAATTGCGCTAAAAATATAATTATAGTTCACTCATCTAATTATTAACGCGTGGACCGTGTTCACACAATACTGTATATCGCAGTTCGAGCTTTAAACTTTGTGCTATCTGATTTCCAATGTTTTTCAAACCATTCTTTAGACACGATAATCTAACAAATATATCATTTTCATTGTGACAGTCAACGCGTTAACGCGATTAATATTTCAACGGCAAAGATCTATCAACGGAGCGTTCAGAACTCATTTCCAAAGGTATGAATTAATAATTTTCAATCTCGCGCTTCGATTCGAAGCGGCCCTTAAATATACACATCGCCAGAGTGTACTGTCTCCTTGCCTTCGGACATTATTAAACAAAGCGATTATTCTGGGATTAGTTTAATACGGTTGCAAATAAGAAACTCAGTCAATTTTACTTAGCGAAGCTTTTTAAGAAAATCTGCTTCCTCATAAATAACATACTGCGTAGGATCAGAACAGACTCTTTTTTCAAAATACAAAGTATCACTCTGGTCAAAAATTCTATTTACGAATCGACTTATTCGGTCGTTTCGCCGTAAAGAAAGTTTCGTGTGTGGTCGGTATTTGTTCGGAGCTAGAGAAAATTTTCCTTCGTCCCCATGAAGTAACTTGGGTATGTTTACCACGGCAAAGTCCCATCAAAACCGAAAGCTACACGGGCAGCGAGATCGCGAAATTCTGAGCACGAAAGTCGGCGAATAATATATGTATACACTCGAACGTGACGTTGTATGTAAATATCTAGAGAAGCTGAAAAGTGGGATGCATAATCGAAGCTTGTGAAATTAGGACGAAGGTGCCTTTAACCCTTATCATCCCCGCAATTACGAGAATCGTTGGCCAAGAGCCTTCGAAACAGTTCGATAACGACCCTGCAATCGTTTGCCTTCGATGTGAACAAGTGGAAATCTTCGTGGTTGTGATTCGGAAACCACTTTGACAGAGTCATTTGCAATTCAAAGTTGAAAAAGATAGTGTGCAGCCGTTGCCGTGTCCCATATACAAAATTGCCATTTTATGCCTGAAGCGTGTAATTGCGGCGAAGGTTCTTTTTTTGCCGGAAAACTAATTTTCTGCTGTTCTTTTTTTGGAACACGCGTTGACGTAATATTACAAAGCGTTGTCAAATAAATCTGGGATATCTTTATTTAAAAAAATTTTAACTTTAATTTTCGTGACGGGAGATCTTGCGAATTTAACTTCCATGATATTACGTTTTATGTACAATTTTACTCGTTCAATTTTTTAATCGACAATATAAATTCTATCTCAACGTACTCGAAAAGAGTATCAAGGGTTAAACGGTATTTATCTCGACTTCCCTTCTAAGGTCGAAAGTCTCCGTTTAATACCTGAACGGTCGTAAGAAGCTGATAAAGGGTCAAAGGGTGACATTAGGTCGATTCGATGATCTCAAAGGTGCTATAAAGGTTAGGGGGTAATCATGGCCATCGTTATCGTGGTTCTGTTGATAAAATCCGACGATATCGTTGTCACCGATATAACGTTGGTTCTCATTAACATCTCGAGCTAGGTTTACCTGGCGAAACCTTTCTGCTCCCTCGTTCATGCAATATGTATGACCGGTGATGCATCGATCGACACGCATCGATATTCTTCACGCGTTTACCGATAACTAGTTAACGAAGTTTCAGATCTCTGTACGAAGTAATCTTAATCCTTTGAAAACGATCGCTCGATGAAATTATAATACGTCTAAATATCTTTGCAGCACATGAAAATCCGTTTACGCGTTTTAACCGTGAGCTGACCACCGTTGGTGGAATTTTTTTAATATGCCATTTGTATAACAACGAAGGCCGCGAAAGGATTGGAGCTTGAAAGGGTACGTGTAAGAGGCATTGCCTAATGGATTTTCCTTGTACGGTAAACGTGAAACATCTTTTTCGTGGCAATAACGTCGATAAAGGAAGAACGTCGACACAGTTTGGTGATCGCCTCGGTTCGAACCTTAGACGTATCGTTCCCCGATCACGTACAGCTAGAAATGTTTCTACTTCCTTGCCAGAGAAAATCGATTCCTTTTCGTGATAAATTGCGCACCCAAAGAATTTCTCCAGATTATTAGTCAAAAATGTGGAACTCGATATTCTGCTTTGAAAAGTGCTTTTCAAAAACTTTTTCATTTCTTCGAATTCTGTTTCCTCAGCCGTCTTGTTTGTTCATTTAATTTTCAGTAGTATAAATAATTAGAAGAGTTATATGTATAAGGATCATGCTTCCATTCTCACCGTTATCAAACGTTGAATTCGCGTCATATGTTAGGCCACAGCACGTGTAATGATTTTAAACGTATGCTCCCACACGAAATAGCTTGTGGATGTAGGAAACGAACCTTGGAAACTGCTTAACATGCTATGACGCTGTGTGCTTAGCTAGCGCCTCTCTGGCCCTGGGGTCGTCCCGGTCCCGGCGGAGTTCCTTGGAGGGATCCCAAGTTGCTGGGTGTGCGCTTCCTCGAATCCTTGGTACGCATACTTGTTGGTGCGTTAAACATTATGCTCCGCGAGCCATCAACTCGTAGTTTAAACTTGCCTGATAATTAGGGAATCTTTACACTATGATCGTTTGCACACCAACCTTCGCTCTGTTTATGCTTGCTCGGACTTCCGAATCGACCAGTTGAAACTTCCTCGCTTCGTATACAACTACATGTTTGTTACACGCACCGCGACGATCGTTTACAATTGCCTATTTAGGCCACACGGGATCCGCAATCGCGGAAATCCATTTGCAAATCATAGAAACGCCATGGAAGTTTAGAAACTGTTAGATGTACAGATTCTACACTAAAGATTCTGCACACTAAAGACCAGTTCTGTAATTATGGCTCTTACTTTTTCGTATTGAACTAACATATCGTTGTACACGCTTCAGCGTAAACATTGTTTGAAGTGTAAATTAGCGTTTATATTAACGCGCTTTCACGGTGAGTTTCCGTAGAGACGCGGTTTCAATCGAGCACACCTTGTCCTACGTCAACCATTCTCGAGAGCGAAACTTAATTTTTAATTAACCGTCCAACGAACGTTAAACACATAACAGCGTCGCGTAATTGAACGATCATCCGCTTAGTTTTCGCGGTCGGAAACTTCAACCGAAATTTATTATCGAGCTCCAACTTCCGCCAACTTTGCCTCCTCTTGCGAGCTCATATTTTTTCTGCTCGTTTATCTGCTTCTTATTCATCAGCGTCTGCGGTTTCATCAATATTTTCGTTTGGTAAACGGAATTCTGAACTAGCGCTACGCGTTACATTTCACGCAAATCTTTGTGTTGATTAATAAATTTATGTCAGCGCGAACGTGCAGCTAAGCCTAGGTAAAATGGCGACTCGGGAGAAAATGGAACCAGTATTCGCGTTTGCTCGGGAAAATGATGCATTGTTTGCTGTGCCAAGTATGAATCTGGCTTTATGGTCTAACACCGGTGAATTTCTTACGGGAACTCGTTTCTCGGTCACAGATTTATGGAGGTTTTTTTTTATAATAAACACTGTGTCCTTGCTGCGACTAACTAGAACGACGTTGATTAATGAACGAAATCGCGTCAAGCCTCTTGGTTAAACGATTACTGTTGTACGCCATTAAACGAACAGTGACTTTAAGATTTATTTCGATATAATTCAGAAATATAAAAAGAAATTCGCACTACTAAAATTGTTAGATTGTATACACTTAGTGCAGCACGCATCTTTGTACAATTAAACAGCTTTCTCAAAAGTACAAGTATTTTCTCTAGTGCTATTTTTTAGTACTTTGAAGTAGTATTTAAATAGCGATCAAAGTCGATACCTTGCAAGTAGGGCGAGTTGTTTCAGGGTATTGTTACAAGAACTTTGAATCCTTTCAGGGTTGGACAAGCGACTCTACAATCGAAAGGTTACACGGGAGGAACGTTGATCCTTTGGCTGTCACGAACGTGAACAGGTTCTTTGAGGATAAGGGAGAAGCAGGTAAACGAAGGGAGTCGATGTCGATATCGCGTGGTCAATATTCGGGTTTCTAGGTCAATTCGTTTGCCTAGGTATGCCCAGGAATACTGCGTCGATAGAGGATTCGAAAAATCGCTACAACGAAGAAATTCAGGTGTACGAATTGACCGGGGGCGTGGAATTGGTGCCGCTTTTGACTAGCAGACGCTATTACTCGCAACCACAAAGCACTCGTTACGTTGCCACCGACGCCACGCGTCCTGGATACACGATAGAGTCGTATGTAACGTATGGAAATGAAATTTCAATTCACTTTCAATGGTTTGCTTTTCATGGGTAGCTTTGCCTTCACGCTGTTTACATTCATTTTCACCGTGTGTCGGTCCGACTCAATTTCATCGATTCTTTGAGATTCATTTACACGCGTTCGTCGACCACTGAAAATTCTACCGCTTTTCGCGTTATATTGCACCACGCAATTGCTCGAGCATCCAATTCGTGTATCGGAAAAGTGATAGAAAACCGGATCGAAATGCTGGAGTTTAAATTGTCTGCAAGGTTGCGAGGGTTAAGTTATTCGAGCTTACGATTCATATCGAAAGACGCGTCACGAAAATGCCTGACGAACCATGCGCTTGTTACATTGCAGGTTAGCGTTGTTACGATACTCCAGGGATGTAATTACATTACAGACAATCAACCCATTGACCTGAACTCTCTCGACCTCGACAAGTTCAGCTGCAGACCGCTCCGCAGCATACACCTTCCTCTCGAATGTTTGTCACCGTTACGGTCCGTCGGTCTGTGTATTCGTCAACACGATTTTCGTCGCGTAACGTCGCCTCTCTGCTTCGAGGTTCCCGTTCGAAGACGTTCGTGTAATTACACGCTGAAAAATCGTTCTAGACGGCTGCCTCGTCGAGTGTTGTCTTTCACGCTGCTCACTTTCCTTTTACTTTCTTACCCCTCTTTCAAAGATTGCTTTTCGTCTCTATTTTATATCGCGATTTCGTCCCTTTCGAGATATCGAAACTAATTTCATTTCCTACAGAATTACGTAACTTGCAAGATCACGTGTTCGGCTGACGCGTCGTTTTAAGTAATCGTTTTGTGATTTCGTTATAGCCACCTGGCACTGTAGCCTGAACTGGTGATATTGTTTTATCGCGATGTTGTTAGACCGATTACAGACAGGAACGCTGGGAGACTGATGTATAATGAGACACTTTGATAGGGTTTAATGGAATTCTGTATGAAGCGGTCGCCGCGCCAGGGGTGTTACGTTGTTCATAATATGGTTGGACGTCGACGGAACACCACGGCGATTAATCATCGTCGATTATCGGTGGCTTTACGAGACGAAAAGAATATCCAGTCGAGTGTTCTTTTGACGGTAATGAACGTATCCTTCTTCACAAATTTTCAGAAGAGACTGTCACCTTCAAACTTTTGTCGTCGTGATCCATGTATGCGCAGAAGGAATTTGCGTATTCTTTATAAACGAAGATAAATTAATATTTGACATTTAATTCACTCTTTTGAAAGCGTCTCCACTGTTCTAATTCCTGTCTTCGTTTTAACGAGGGGATACTTTCTTCGGAGAACGATGCTTCAGGAAAGAATAGACTCCGGAACAATACGTTTCTTCTATTTTCCCTGCGACTTTTTCATTTCGTTTGTTCTTTGCTCGAAGAAAATTTGATCGCGAGTCGGAACGATTTTCCTTCGAACCGATCACACGATTCTCTATCGTGGAACGTCGTTACTTGTTCAAACTGGAATATCCGTGAAAGATCGCATGATTCTTCGCTGAATCTTGCAGGTGTTTTCATTTAATTGTCGATTCATGGCGCATCTCGGTTATGTAGATTTTAAATTCCCGCCAACTTTCCACGTTTTGCAACAAGTTCGGCAGACGTTCGATTTATTCAAAAAGTTTTCTGATCGTTTCAAACTCTCCCCGAACTTGTACCATTGTTTTACACTCAATTTCTACTTTACTCTTGCTCGATAAGAAATCGGGAAAAGGATTTTCAGGGCCGATAAAAAAGAAGGAACATCAAGAACAGGATCGACTCGAGGAAAATTGTATTCTCCGAGAAGTTGCTTGTATTTTATCTCGCGTAATATGCTGTGTATACTTATTAAAGAGTAAATCCTCTTAATAAACTGTCCGGCGCACGTGTCTCGTAAGGTAACATCGTGCTTATCCTTTCTTACGTGTTTCGGGAGATTAAATGCTTCGAGGCAGAAAGACAAGGAATTATTTCGAGTGGACGCCTGAGTCTCCGGATAATCTAAATGGATTTCTGTAATTTCACTCCAACATTCTTTTAATTTCCAACACAAACAAACAAATATGTCCAAGAGGATTAATTGCGCGAACAAATGTTTCTGCTCGTTCGTTCTTTCCGCGGAACGTGTAGCCGGTGTATCGCGTCGAAACATCGATGAAACGACGAAGAAGAAGCGAACGTGCCACTAAAACAATGTCGTAATGGTTTTCCGCGGAGTGCACCGTAAGTTTGTATTGCGGCGAAAGTTAGTTTGCGCGATGGTGACAAACTTTGGCTTACGTGTTTGCTTTCCCATATTATCGCGGTAAAAGAGCTTACTATCCCCTCACCGATCCTTATTCTGCCGCGCGTCTTTGTCGCTTCCGCTTTAACGCGCTTTCACGTTTCATTGCGATGCTTGCCAACTTTCCGAACGAGATGCGCCAATGAAATTTTTATGTATCGCGAAAAGCTTATGGAATACACGAAGTCAACGTATTGGTTTTTCTGCTCTATCGATCAACCGGCCGCTTGCCCCGGGCTTTAGGTCGCCCTGCTCAGAGGCTTTACGATCTTCTGGCATTTGGACACTCACCAAATTATATTAATTTTATTTGGAGTACTGTAAAATCGAGTTGGTTAATTCAGAAAATGTAGTTTTCTTTTAGAATAATTTGACATGGTTCATCTATAGTGCCGAACAAAATGATAGGACGAATATAACAAGATATATATACATTTTACAAACCCTATGTATTAAATATGTCTTCTAAAGTATGCATACAGAATTGCAAGTCTGTAACTTGTGCACAAAAGCAGTCCAGCACTGTATGTGATTGGATATGACCTACTGATTAGATACGACTATGAATGATGCATTTGTAAATTGCGATCTCTGCACCGCTTCTTTGCGCTTAATCGTCGGAATTAGTCGAATTGACGCGTTCGAAACGGGAAGCTAGGATATTGGAACGGTATCGAGATGTTTGAGGTTCATTCGAACGCTTTTGACCGTAGATTGCGAGCACTGGGAGTCGGGAATCGCGAGTACATCGCCGAGCTCGCCGAGCAAATGCGACGAAAACGGGAGAAGGCAGTGGTAAGTGGTACACGTTGATCGAGAACGATCGTAATTCGATCCACGGTTAATTGCATCGATCGTTTCGATCTTATCCTTCCTTGTTCAACCTGATTGAATCCGGTTAGAGAGCATGTTAAGCTACTCGTACGTTCGCCAGCACGCTTCAACCATGGCGAATCGAACGGCCATAAATAATGTTTGCATCGAATTAGAACAGCGAATGTTTCATCGACAATGTTCCCACGCTTGTTTTCAAACTTACTAATCGCTTTTAAGCACAACACTTTAGCCACTTGTGGAAGTAGTCTTGACCCCAGGGAATAATAGCTTTCTTTGAAGCATTATTGCTTTCGACTAACTTCGGTACATTCCGAAGAAATTAGTACAAGTCCGCAAGGGGTTAAATTGCACGATTTGTACAAGAATAGTTTGCCGCTCTAAAAAACGAACGTGAAGAGGATGATTGTGGGTTCTAGGAGGAGCGACGAATGGAGGTGGAAAGCTGTCGAAGACATTTCGACACGTGGAGGAAGTTGTGGGGTCGGCCAGGCCATGGCGCTCCCATGGATCACGTCCATCGTAACAATCTCTACAATATTCTTCACCGTCCGACCATTTATTGAATTTCTGTCTTCTGTACGGATCACCGTTGTAACTTTCCACATTATTTTCCTTTGACGGAAGAACCTTTATGGAAACTTTTAAGGGGATTCTTACGAGCTACCGTGGACAATAACAGACTCGTAACGAGGGTATAGACGAAAACGCAGATGAATATTTTTAGAGAGAACAAGATCGTTACGAGGAAAGATAATTGTTTAAACGCTGCTAGAAGTACGTAACGGGTAATGTAATTTTGCAGAAGACACGGTGAGGTTCGTTTGCGATCGTGTAACATCTGGTAATGTAGATGATAATGTAGGTGAGATTAATTAGGGATGAATATTGAAACGGAGTTCTGCGAAGGTTAGCAAGTTCTTAGAGCGCAGGTTTAAATAGAATCTCTGTTATCGAATACTCGAAATGTTTGATCAGTCAGTGAAGTCAATTAGATTCTAAAATCTGTATCACGAATTATGTACGCGAGCTATATTTTCATATACCAAATCGTGTGTACGCGACTCCCAGGGGTGATTGAACCCTAGAGAGCTCAGACTTTGAGCATCGTCAAAAGAAATGTTGCTCGTTACAAGCGGCACGACTGTTCTCGGAAACTTTATTGGTTACTTTGGGTTGCGAGCATCAAAGAACGGAAACCGACAGAAAGGCAGGCGGAAACAGCCAACCTCGTAAAACAGTTTGCAATATCGCATGCCATGCTAAACGGGATCGAGCCGCTGTGCGTTTGAACGCAACGCTCGAACATCTGGCCTCTTCCCTAATATTTCAAGGAAATTCTCGATGAAGGATCGACTAGGATCTTCTTAGGTCGCTATAAAATCGCGCATAAAGAAACATATATTTTCTTCTAGGAACATCCCTTTATTTTCGATAAATAAAAGAAGCAGAAAATCGAGTTTGACTATTAAGTAGAGATGTAAAAGTTTCGAATATGCATCTCGCAAAGGGAAATCTCGTTTTCGAAGTACAAACGAACTAATTAAAATTCGATTTGCAGTACACATAGATTGTCGAGGATGGGAAAAAGACTGTGTCGATATTTTAAAGAGTGGGTACCAGAACGACCGCATAATACCGTAATTGGACGTTAATTAATGGGCCAGTCGTAGCGCGAAGAAGCCACGAGGCTTGCCATCTCTAATGGACGCTGGCAATTTAATTTAAACGTTGTTTCCCTAGCTACGACACAGTTTGTATTTCTAAACGGACACCTTTGTCCCGTCGCCGGCCATAGAGAACGTTAGTTTCATCCTTCCCAAGGCAGCCTGTGTTTTCCATCCTCCTACCCATCTCTATTTTCGGAAAGCCACGGAATCCAGGCGTTGTCGCGTATCTCCCTGGTTACGATCCCTTTCGTCCGAGCCGCAGCCACCGCCAACCGAATGCTACGTTTTCTCCATTGTCTGACTATTGTGCCCCCGTTACCGCCGTGTGTCCGTTTCGTTTGTTTAAGAGTGATTCATTTTCCGCGAAATATCAGTTCCTGCTCTGCATGAATTGCAACTTGCACGGTCGCGTAAAACCACCCTCGTAACAGCCCTTCCTCCCTTCAACGCGCCCCTCCTATCCTCTGTTCGGCTATCCACCGCGCGCTTGTTCTCCGCTCCCTTTCTTTCTCTCTCTCTTTCGCCGTTCGTTCCGTCCGTCTCTTTTCACGGGGTCGTATTATCGCAAAATTAGGTCGGTCGTTGGCTGCCACGCGAAATGAGATACGTGACCGGTGTCGGTGTTTGCGAAAATTGCCCATTGCTATCTCGTTTTTTGCCATCCCGCTTTATTTTTTCTCTATGCCTCGTACTAACGCCGACGATGTGTGTTTAGGAAACGGAACGGTAAAAAAACGACGCCGCTTTTGGTCGGCCGGGGATTCTTTAATTTCCGGCTTCGCTTTCGAGAACGGTAGAATATCGTACAACTTTGAATTGTATCGGAAATGTCTTCGGTCGTACTGTCGGATAGTTCGGGTAGTGATTTTTGTTTCTAAAGTTCGGAGTACAAAGGACACTCCGGACAATAGGACAGGTAATGAATAATACGATTCTCCAAGACACACTTTTAACTTCTCGCACGAAAGTAAGAATTTTTCACGCGAACTTTTCGAACACCGAGTATCGGATAATGGGTGCTATCATAATCATTACACCAGCCGAATTTCCCAGGCGCAACGAGCACGCGCGAATAATTTCGTCCCACGCAAAGATACGTGACCCTGCAAGCGACGGAAAAATTTCACTCGCGTCGACGAGCCCGATGATTTAACAGCTTGGCCCATAACGAGCGCTTCGGTCCTACTTAATTAGAGATCGTGTAATTTATGCGACAGACGTGTTCCACGCGCTCCACCGTCGCTCCTTTCTTCCTTTGTAACGGACGCTTCCTTCCGATTCACTTTTATTTTGCACCGTTAATTGTTCCACGCCCTTAAAGGAGCGCAATAACTTTCGGTCTCGCAAACCACTTCGCCTGAACGCCACGATTAATTATTCCCTCGTTGTTTCATGCACGAGACTCAATTACTCCTTTCAAATAGCGGACTACCACTTGCAGAACGAACAGTCGATGTCATTTTGTGGCTATGGTCATATCAAATTTTAATGAGACAATTGTTAGCGATATGCACAATACACTTGTTCAAGAGCGTAAAGAACGATACAGGGATCACGAGGGTGCAAGAGATTATCGATAGTTCTCCGAGGTGAAACGTCGCGAAACTTTTATTTGTATTAGGTGCACTTTATCGCGATTCGATAGGTAATTTCTCTAAGAGCTACTGCAGCGACTTTACTCGATGAAAAGTCGCCTTCAGGAGCCCGCAATTGTTTGCTCGAGTAGGTACTCGGTTAGAATCGTTGTTGCGCGTCGCGAAATTGATCGGTTTCCGGCCCGGTAGAACATTCTCCGTCAATTTTTCTGTACCGATTTTGTTTCGAAAAATAAATCAGACTTTTTTCAATATGCGCGCTTTAAGAATCTATAAGGGAAAAAAAGGAAAGATCTTCTCGCCACGAATTGCAACGCAACAAACGTTCAGAAAGAAAAGTTTCTCTGTAAATACGGGAAAAACCGTAGAGCTTGGAGAGCTTTTTAGAATTTCAACAGGCAAGGAGGGAACGCGAGCTGAAAATAAGTCGATCGAATCGCAATTCCACTCTGGTACCCCTCTTTTTTTTCTCCTTTTTATTCCTCCGACTGGCATCGAATCGATCTTCGTCGTGGCGCCGATCTCCTTCGAAATCGCTTTTCCCAACGGTGTTCCCGTTGCTGGCGCCGATAATTGATTTTACAAGTTCCAGGCGGCAAAACCTTTCACGTCTGTTTGTAAATCGTCGGCTCGAGCCGGTGAGCGATAGATCGCGAAATTCGCGAAAACTTTCGCCAGTCTGCCGGAACCGTGGCAACTTATCGGCCAATGTTTACTCGCCTGGTAAAAGCGTAATATTTGTTCGCGATTTCATTGTGATTTCGCTGATAAACGACGCGTAAACCGCTCCTTTCGAATACGTTCAGAGAATACCATAATTGGAATTGTTCTCCAAGTTATTTGCCTGCAGGAAAATATTTGCGGTTTTCCCAATGTTTTCAACTGCTTCTAATGTACAAAACTGTTCCGTTAACAAATCAGCGCAAAAGGAAAACCAAGGGTTACAGGAATTTTGTCCAAAATTCGAGCAAGATAGAACGCGAAGATGATTTGCAATTTTTGACGAAATGACAGGGTGGAAATAAATTATCGGCTCAGACTCCTTGGCTAGGAAAAAAGGGTTCTCGCACGGTGAATTTGAATTTTGACACGGTCCTGATTCTCGTCTCTGTCGCTCGTTCATTTGTCTTCGTAACCGAAAGGTCGACTAGGAATTTCCGCAGCATTTTTAGTTCGCAGGGAATTTAAGCATGGATCGAGGTGTCGGAATGTCGTTCAATTGAATTTTGGCTAGTTTAGAGCATTGCGTTCGCGATCGATCGTGTCGCAACGCGGCGTTAACTGTCACAGATAGTTCACTGCTCCCTCTCTCGGGAAATTCGGGCTAAAATAATCGAGCTAAATCTGAACACTGATTTTCTCTAGTTTTATCGTTTGCACGAAATGTAGAGAAAAAGTAGGCTTTACATTTCCGAACGGATGTCGAATAAAATTAGAACACTGTTTTGAACGCTTTGACAAATATTTTATTCGATCGATCCAAAGAAAGGTTTTCAACTTTGTTTATGTAGGTTATTTCTCCATAATTTGATATTAATTTGACGGGTGAAAAGTGGGTTAGCGTTCGGGCAAAAATGTCAACTTCTTGAATTATCCCTTTTTCCTAAATGTCAATTCCGAATCTTATTCTACAAATAAAATTCAGTTTTCAGAGATAAATTAATCGCGCGAAATAACGTATCGTCCCGAGAATAACACGCAGCTACGTGTAACTTCAACAAAACCGTACGAGCGTTTTCCATGGTGGATGGTTAAACAATGGGTCGCAGGGGACCGTTTCATTCGATGAAATTCTCTTAATACCATTTTTACACTCGTCATTCCTCGCTACAACTTCCTGTAGTAATTTCACCTTTCGAGCTTCCTCTGCTTTAATAAAGGATTTTTCTCTCGCGAGAATAAACTGTATTCTGAGCCGTAAAAATGAGCGTCGAAATGTTGCAGAATTAATAACGATGGTAATTTGACTTATTCAACTTCAGACATTTAACTAATCCCTACGACAAATTTTAAATATTAATATCATTTTCAACGTCGTGTATTCGAATATCGTAGAAGAGAGCGCACAGAAAATGCAGAAAGCAATGAAAAGACGTCATTAAACGCAAGATGATCGAGTAACCTTTGACACACCGCTCGCAGGAGTTTCAAGGTATTTTATTCATCCAGCGGATCGCTTTTGACATCTGTCGTAAGATAGTTCGGGAATCTTATTGATCAAGTTTCAAGCGGTTACCAAAGAAAACGGAGACGGTTCAAAATTTCAGACCCAGTGAAAAGGCTTCTCTTGTAACATTTTAAATTGCCAGGCTTTTTAAAACTCCTGCTGATGTCTTAACTTTGTAAGATAATCGAATATTTAAATTGAAACGGTGTATCGAAGTTACACTTCCTTTGCAAAGTTCACGAAAGGAAGTTCATATTTCATCGCGTAAAATTGAGACTTCGAACCGCAAGGACTGTATACCGTGTTTAATGAAAGTGTACATATCTCGATGTAAAAGCTTAAAGTATTAATAAATTATGTTAAACTAAAGCTGAAGTTTATTTGTCCCATAATTCACGTCCAATATCGTAAAAAGCATTTCACCGATGGCACACACGTTCTATCGATAGTAATTCAATCGCGTTTGAAAATCACACGGACAACGCGCATAAATTGTCGCGAGAAATAGAATATCAGCATTAACTCGATCGCTATTATAATGTCGAAATGGTCCACGTACATTCTCGACATCGATAACAACATGTTTTTTAATCTCTCCATAAATGTCGTATCACCAGGCCGCAGAATAATTCGCGCGCGCGTTATTCGTTTTGTTACGTAGCGCGTGAAAATTAAAAAGAGAAACGCGAACGGGGACGAAAAAGAAGGGAAAACAATGCAATTCCCCCGTAGCTGCATACACAAAACCGGCTATGTTATATTAAAAACTATTCCGTTGAAACATTTCGCCTGTCTGGGGAATAATATTTAGTTGACCATTACGCTGCGTGTAGCACCGATGCGCTGATTATGCGCGTCGCCAAAGATATTGTTCCCGGGAGGAAATTAAACGAAATAAAACCTTTTTGCGAGTCCGTGCTATTGGGAAAAAGAAGCTGAAAATTATACGTTTAATCGATTTATTCGTTAGGAAGTTAATATCTAAAATAAATACTGGTATTTTAAAAATGAAATCGTACTTTGGTATTTCGATAGCTCGCAGAATAAATTTGGAATCAGAATCGAGTATGGATTTTAAACTGAACATCTGGGAAATGTTTCGACATTGTTATAGGATCCTTGCGGTTTTCGTAATATCTGTTATTGGGATCGATATTAAACACTGCTCTGGCCTAGTTATGAGATCGGTAACCGCTAAATGTAATACACAAACCGTGTCGTATCGTCAACCTATTGTGTTTCTAATTATTTCTGCATCGAGCCGCGGAAATTTGCATTCGTAATTTATTGAAATTCGGCTCTGTTTGCTTCAATTAAACAAACAAGTAATTTATTTCGACACGCTGCTTGTTTCAATTGTACGGCTGTTATTACACGCGTGTGTCACAATAAAGCGTCGCGTTACGCTCAATCAAATATATTCAATTATTTCGTTATGTTACATTAGTAATAAACGAGGTTATATGATCGCGTTCGAATGAAACTTTATCGGGATTCTTTTAACAAACGACAATCCACGAAATTCGGTTTAAGTGTCCGATGAAGTTTAATTGGCGGTTCAGCCGTTAAGCCCCAAGGATCTCGTAATTCAACTTTTGCCCCGATACTTTATTTAACTTGTCGAAATTAGTTTCCGCAGACGGTCGAACTTGTTAATTTCTTTCTGTTTACAAAGCAAAATTGCTCTCACCGGGAAAGGATTTATTAGGTTCTTTATTACGGCGCGAGAATACGTAAATCGAAGTTGTTCGTGGAAGAGAAAGAAATTTCAGAATTACACAAATCGTGCAATTTATGAAGTTACTTGTCTACAAAATAAATACGATTTTCATAAGAAAATTTCTTAAATTCTCCTACATTTCCATTGCCCCAAGAGAATACAACTTGATTTTTAACACTAAACCTACCGGGTGTATGTGTACTTAATTTGAGGTAAAAAATGAAGTCAAAAAATAAGTAAGCAAACGACAAAACATTTTGTGCACACATTAATTCTTCATCTTGATGGAAGTCACTGCAGTTAACAGAAGAATCAGTTCAACAAATTGTGTAGTTTATAATAAGACGTATAATGTGTACTTAATTTGAGGTAAAAAATGAAGTCCAAAAATAAATAGGCAAACGACAAAGCATTTTGTGCACACATTTATTCTTCATCTTGATGGAGGCTAATGCAGATATCAGAAGAAACAGTTCACCAAATTATGTAATTTATTATAAGAATCTTGTGGAACGGTCATTTGATCGGTTTGGTAGTTTTAGTGTTAAAGAAGCTAGAATTTGCAAGTCTCATGTAAGGAAGGAGGTCGAACAAGTATCGTTAAGGGTTTATATCCTGCAATTACATTCGCGAATTATCCGACCGTATCGACAAGCAACCAGTCAGTGAATAGCCTGAATATCCTTGTCTGTTCGCTATCGACAACGGAACACCCGATTCCCGATCCGCAGAACACGCTCGTTTCGAAACGTCGACTACGAATCGCGCGTGTAACACCAGGAGCATTTCAACCAGTAGCAAATCCGTCTTACGATGGAAGGGTAATTCCGTAGCTGGGACTTAATCGTGGCAAAGCACGTGCTGCAACCGAAACAACATCCATCCGGATCTGAATTCCAACAGTGTTCCAGCTTGTCTCTTTGTGTGCCCGTTTCTCCTCGGCTTCTCCTTCTCTTTCTCTATCGATCGCAACGGCGAACCATCGATCAAATTCGATGATCTAACTTGTCATTACCGGCGAGAAACTTTGGAAATTGCTTCGAAATTCGGAGCCCTGAACTCAAACTAATACACTTATGGCAAAAGTGGGGAGGCAGAGATTGTCTGGTTTTCGGGGCAGATCGATGGCAAAGACCTCATGGATGCAATGCTAATTTCATTCTCCCAGTTTTCTGTGTCTGCTAATTGCGTAGATCCGATACACCTTGTAATGGGTTAATTGCATAACGAAATAGGTCGTCGGGCAAAATTATTCTTCGATATCGCTCGAAAAGTTCAGCTATTCATACCGTTGATTAGCGCATTGTATAGATCCGATACATTGTAACAGGTTAATTGTATAACCAAATAGGTCATCGGGTAAATATCGCTCTAGTTCAGCTATTCATACCGTTGATCAGCACTTTTATAGAAGATCGATATTTCGACAGTAGATTATACGCGGAGTTGGACGTAAACTGGAATAGTAAGAAGTTTAGGGCAACGATTGGAATAGAAGATCATGATAAACGATTGGAGCACGTGATTTTAGCGGGTTACGTGATCTCGGACTTTCTGGCCGAAGCGTGGTTCAATTCCCTCGGAAAAGTCTCGGACGTAAACGAAATTGCGAAGAAAAGAATTATGTGGGCGAACAGAAAATGAGGGTGAAAATATCGATCCACTCGAAGTCCTACTGGCGCAAACACTCGCGTCTTAAGACAATCGCCACGAAGAGCGTCCCGGAAACTGTTCCTTTTTTAAAGAACTTTCCATGGACAGCGAAGACAGTGGAAAAAGTTTCTTAAACCTTTATGTTTCACTTTCGAGGGAGAACGGTGTCTGGAATAATTAATTAAATCAGTATGGTTCTTGAAAGTGGGTAGCCATGTTTGAATTCATGAGTTCCCCTTCTTTTTTCCCCATTTCGAATTCTTTGCACGTTTCTTATTTTGCCGGACATTTTCGAGATGTTGAAGATATAAAATAATAACGCGTGTGCTCTATAAATATGTAAGCGGAGGACGTACGACTTCATCGAAATTTCATCGGCAGCCAAGGATAATATGTGAGAATCGAACGCTCGAAGGTACCATTACTTTCGACGCTACGACGCGTCGGGTTGCGTCGCTTCGAGATAGGCGTCCTCCTCCTATCAAACGATGCTTCTATCAGTTCGTTCCTATTCAGCTCGCGGCACGAAAAGCCGGCTTATTCATGCTTCAATCATTCAGTCGAAAGTAATTAAGAGCGACTTTAAGCTAGGATCAATCCATCCTTACCGTCATAATTGCTGGTGAACTTTCATGACAAGCGTTGGGAATTTTAGGAACTAATGAAGTTCAATCTTTAATGATCAGAAGTATCGTTCGCTTCGAATTGATAGCTCCTCATCAATATGAAACTCGAAAGATGGATGCAAATACAACGGATTTTTACAAGCTAAGTTCTCGCAATCTTTTCGTCTGGCGGAGAATGTTTCTATTTCGAAATGCTTGCAAGTACTTTAAACAATTTCGGCGTCGAAAGCAACCGGTCGTGCTTCCACGCGTTTCCACGTCTTGTTCCGTAACAGACACGCTCTGTTTTTACTCGACTCGGCTCTTCGTTCCGCGCGACGCTTCTGAAGCACCGGGACTCGAGAGGGTTTCTTCCGACGTTGTTCCACGATTCTTCTCGTCACATCCTCTTCGCGCAATCCAAAACCGTCTGCTTGTCGCGCTTTTACGTAAGAATTCGCTACAACGTCGTTAATTTCGTCGCCGTATCCGTGCAAAGGAACCCGGGAATCCTTTGAATAGCAAATGTTCAATGCTCTATATTCTACCTGGCATTCTAAAGAAATTTGTAATTTAAAGTCGAGTGGATTCTTTAAGCAGAAACATCACCTTTAGGAGTATCGTTTCAATTGCGCGTAAAGGAAGTACGAAAATACTGAATAATCGATAACGATCGTACGGTATTACGTGGGAAGCCGATAGGAAAAGCGGCTTGTACCTGCTCATAACGTTGTAATTCGAACAAATGAACGCGTTACTTTTCAGGCAACCTTTTTCCCGGAAGCATCGGCGCGTTTTCACGTGACCGCGATTAATGACGTCCATTTAGAACGCAGCGTACACGTTGGCGGGTCGCTGAAGCCCGCGTCAAACGAGATTAAAGAGCGAAACGGGAGACGTTTGGACAGCTCTATCAGCCGAGAAAAATGTGTACACCGGCCTCGACTTTTCTGCACGTTTCTGCACTCATTTTCCCCGCGATTTTCTGCTTTCTGCAAACGCGAAACCGCGTCTACCCCTCTTGTTTCTATTTTCCCTGCTTTGAGCGTCAAAAGGACAGCTCCTGTGTTCGATCCTCATTCATGCGTATTCAGTGAAATCTGTGCAAGCGCTTCGATCGTTCATTATAGAAAATATTTGTATTTCATTTCTGGCACAGCTGCTTGAAATTTATTCTGATTCGAATCTTGCGCCATCGAGCGATGCAGGATTAAAAATTAAAGGAGGTTCATTTTCGAGTCGTATCTCGGCATCGTTATTCCTCGGGCGTTTGACTACAAATTTCAATCGGTCGGGACACGGGTCATCGGCCTTCCTGATTCCGCTGGAACAAAACAAGAACACGACAGTCTGTCCCGCACCAGCAACGAATGAAATATGCAGAAAGTCTTCTTGCCCGAGGAAACGGCGTTACGGGGCAGCCAGGAGGGGTTAATTGCAAGGAAATACGATAAAACAGATGGGAAACGTTTCGTCGAGACGGTAGAAAATTTATGCGACCCGCTGAGCGGAAACGGGATTGTAGGTAGAGGAAACCGAAATAGCCAAGGGCACGCGGTTTGTTTTAAACATTTCGATTATTCGCATCGTTTATAGTCTACGCGATTTACCAGGACTTTTCTCGCAAAGAAGACCTTATTCATTTTTTTTCCATCAAAATATAAATTAATATTTAACGAGCTACATTGCGAAACACGTCGAACATTGGGAATCCAATGTATCGATTTTTTAGGAGATAATAACAGCGAAGGGAAACAAAAGGATACGTCGAACTAGTTAATTTCAATTCCTAATATTTTTTTTCCGAATGTATTTTTGTTACGAATGTAGGATTCGTCAAACAACGGGAATTTGACTGGCAGTATTTTTTGTTACACGATCAATTTTGCGAGAGAGAAAATAAAAGGGCTGGCCCAACAGGTCCATCGAAGATATTTCGCTGCGCCGCGTGTTTGATTTTGATTCTAGCAGGGGGAAGGTTTGCGCGATAAAATTGTCGATTAAAAAAGAATTTGCACTTTTATTACAGTGACGTACGTATATGTTACAGTACACAGTGTGCGATATACATCCGAGACGTTTCCCTTCGAGATGCAATCGAACGCCGACAATACACACACTCAATTCGAGCGATCGCGCTCAGCCGTATCAATCGCGACAGATCGGTTTTCTCTTTATCACCCGAACCGCAATTCGCTGGACATTTACGCAACGGTGGAATCTAAATTTCCAATGTATCTCCGATAACATCTGTGGTTAACCTATGGTACAACAAAGGGGACAGTCCCACAAGTATCTCGATTGTTCGTTTCCACGAATCGCCAATGTAAACTATCAACGATGTTCGAAAATTACGTTCAAACTCGTTCCGCTTGATTCGCGAACGCGAAACGTTTCGATCTGTTTGTTTTTTGTTTTTGGCGAACAGCGCTTCTACACTCGAGAGAGCAAGCGGAATCAATGCATCTGATCCTAACTGAACTACGATTGCTAAACGAAGAAGTCGTCGATTGTTCGTCTAACGATTTAACTCCTCCATCTTCCCGTCTACTTATGTACAAACACGATCGCGGGCTCGATTCGTCATCGTCCAACCGAAACGCCGTCTGAGCCCGTTGCGATCGGAAATCCAAGAACCCGTTTGCTCGAAACAACGCGTCGCATTGTCTCTGTTGCAGCGTGAATCGGTTGTGCCGAGCCATTTAGAAAACACAATGCACCTGTTCAGCGAGCGTGAATGGGGCTCGTAGTTGCGCGACGTTTACTCATAAATTGTCCAACGAACGCGACGCGCCACGTAAATCGAGTTCCCTGTTGATCCTTCGAGGACCGCCGCCGATTCCAGCCTGGTTCACTTCGCATACACACTCCGCCGCGGCTAAAGCTACATCGAAAGTTAAGATTCGTAGAAAATCACATATAAAATGCTCGGTTAACTAGTCCACTCGTGCGCGCAGTGACGCAGTGTTCTTCGTTGATCTATTGGATTGACATAGTCTTTTGTTTCTGGAGGACTTGATATTCGACAGAGAATCATGGATATCTCTCGGAGGAAAAACTACCGCGAGTCAGGATGGTTTCGCGTTCGAGGGCAGACCGTGAGGACCCATCAGGGTCCGCACGATCTGCTCAAACGTTCGAAACCTCCACGAGTCGGGAGTTTTTGGACTTGTCTCATACATTCAGGTTAGTGGTGCCCACGTTGTTGATGAAGTTATTCGAATGTTGACCCTCTTGACTGGCCTGTCTGGCAGCGTGACCAGCTTCTCCGCTCTGTATACTGAAGTGTCTGTACGATATGTATTCCGGCGGGATAGGCTGCTCCCTTTTCACGGTCTCTCTCTGCTTCTTCACCTTGAGGTAACCGAGGACGGACACGAGGAGCAGGAACACGACGAATCCCATGCAGCAACCGACTATGAGACCCAGACGCCTGGTCAGGAAGTTGCTGACGCCGCCTACATCGCCCATGGAGGAACCGTCGCTGCTGATGACGGTTTTGTTTTTGGCGAACAGCGCTTCTACACTCGAGAGAGCAAGCGGAATCAATGCATCTGATCCTAACTGAACTACGATTGCTAAACGAAGAAGTCGTCGATTGTTCGTCTAACGATTTAACTCCTCCATCTTCCCGTCTACTTATGTACAAACACGATCGCGGGCTCGATTCGTCATCGTCCAACCGAAACGCCGTCTGAGCCCGTTGCGATCGGAAATCCAAGAACCCGTTTGCTCGAAACAACGCGTCGCATTGTCTCTGTTGCAGCGTGAATCGGTTGTGCCGAGCCATTTAGAAAACACAATGCACCTGTTCAGCGAGCGTGAATGGGGCTCGTAGTTGCGCGACGTTTACTCATAAATTGTCCAACGAACGCGACGCGCCACGTAAATCGAGTTCCCTGTTGATCCTTCGAGGACCGCCGCCGATTCCAGCCTGGTTCACTTCGCATACACACTCCGCCGCGGCTAAAGCTACATCGAAAGTTAAGATTCGTAGAAAATCACATATAAAATGCTCGGTTAACTAGTCCACTCGTGCGCGCAGTGACGCAGTGTTCTTCGTTGATCTATTGGATTGACATAGTCTTTTGTTTCTGGAGGACTTGATATTCGACAGAGAATCATGGATATCTCTCGGAGGAAAAACTACCGCGAGTCAGGATGGTTTCGCGTTCGAGGGCAGACCGTGAGGACCCATCAGGGTCCGCACGATCTGCTCAAACGTTCGAAACCTCCACGAGTCGGGAGTTTTTGGACTTGTCTCATACATTCAGGTTAGTGGTGCCCACGTTGTTGATGAAGTTATTCGAATGTTGACCCTCTTGACTGGCCTGTCTGGCAGCGTGACCAGCTTCTCCGCTCTGTATACTGAAGTGTCTGTACGATATGTATTCCGGCGGGATAGGCTGCTCCCTTTTCACGGTCTCTCTCTGCTTCTTCACCTTGAGGTAACCGAGGACGGACACGAGGAGCAGGAACACGACGAATCCCATGCAGCAACCGACTATGAGACCCAGACGCCTGGTCAGGAAGTTGCTGACGCCGCCTACATCGCCCATGGAGGAACCGTCGCTGCTGATGACGGCGTCGGGCGCCTCCAAAGTTTTCACCTCCGTGCAACGACTCGTCGACGAGTCCACCATTTGCGTGTCCGACGACGGCTCGAACGTCTCGTGATTGGAGAAGTTGAACTGATCCATCGCGTCGTCGTCCAGACGTTGATTCAACCAGTTGCCCAGTCCGAACACGCAGATCAGGTAGCGGGTGTTCGGGGACAGCTTCGACAGCTTCGTGGAACGCGAGCTGGGCTCCAGGACTTTTGCTCGAATCTGGAACTGGCGTGCGAAGGAAAGCATCAATTTTGATCGGGTTGCAGAGTCGTCTTAAACGATTCTGTGTTACCTCGTCGATGTTTTCCAGAGAGTGGTACGCCACCTGATAACCACGGATACCCGAGTGATTCCTGCTCTGCCAGGATACCAGCACGGAGAACGGTTGGATGTCTTGGATGGCTAGCTTCAGAACGAGGGGAGCGGAACAGAAAGCGTGCGGATCCAGGTCGAGGAACACCAACCCTCGTAACTCTGGTGGCTGTTGGCACCTCAGTAATCCGCTGTCCATGTCGTTCATTCGTAATCCACCCCGATTTCGAGCCACCCCACCACCCACCAGCTTCTGATGATCGCGTAACCATTCCCAGAGCTCCTGTGACTCGCAATCGCAGTGCAGTGGATTCTCTGCACACAGAACAATAGTTTCGGTTACTAGGGCATTCTCCTTCCTTCCACAATATTCGAGAAAAATATGTAAAGAAACCTGTTAGAAAAATACGAAGTAAATAACTCACCCTCCGCCCGTAGACTCCGAATCTGCGTTTCCAACGGTCTGAAGGCGTTCAGCGGTAGATTGGCTAAATAATTCCTGCTCAAGTCGAGGATTCTCAATTTCTTTAACGGCTTGAACGCGTCCGGCGAGATGGAGGATATCCAATTGCCGTAAAGATGAAGCTCGGCCAGATTCTCGAGATGCTGAAACGTGTTTTTACCAACTTCGCTGATCTGATTATACGACAGATCCAATACCTGCAGCGCTTTCAAGTCCGGAGGGAAGTCCTCCAGCTCTTTCAATCGATTGTGCGTAAGATTAAGCAGCCTGAGGTGCTCGAGTCCCTTTAATCTCTCCTGTGGCAACAGTACCAGCTCGTTCATGCTCAGATCCAGGGTCAACAATTCGAGCAAACTTCGGAACGCGCTCGGAGATACCCGTGAGATCATGTTGTTGCCCATGAACAGGTGCATCAGCGCAGGGAACGCTTCGAAATCCTTGCTGGTGACGATCGTCAGATTCGTACCCGATATGTGTATCTCCTGAAGCGCGGGATACTTCGCTTTCGAGCTGATCTCGTGTATCCTGACCAGAGGATTGGCGGTCATGTTCAGCCAGGCTAGATTGGGAACATTTTGAGCGGACAAGGCGACCGCCGGTATCTGATGAAATTTGTTGGCAGCCAGCTCAACCTTTCGAAGCAAGTTCGAGCGAGCGAAGAAGTTAGCCGGTAGGGCCGTCAGGTGATTGTGACTGAGGTCGACGGATATCAGGCGGGACAGATTCACGCCGGCGAAACCCGAAAGGGCCATGATGTAATTACCTCGCAGATCGAGTTCCCGCAGGCTGGCCAATCCGTTTAACCGTGACATGTCCACGTTCAGGATTACATTGTTAGCCAGCGACAAGAACTCGACCGTGGTGGCGTTCGCGAACACTTCGTAAGGTATCTCTTGGAACCTGTTGCCGTCGAGTTTCACTTCCTTCAAAGAGTCCAGCCCGAGGAACAGGACGCTCGGCAGCATTCGAAGGAGATTGTTGCTCAGCAGGAGTTTCGCCAGGTTCTTGTTCTTCGAGAATATCTCGGGCGGCACGCGATGCAGCTGGGAGGAGTCCATGGCGAGATGCTGGAGAGACGGCAGCCCGTCCAACGAGCTGCCGACGATTTGGCTAAAGTTATTGTAAGATATCCTGAGAACCCTCAAGCCCGGAATGTCCAGACGATCCAGCGCGGTGGCGGTCAGATGATTGTGCTCCAGATTCAACTCGTAAAGATTGTTCAGACCCCTGAAAGCTCCGTTCTCGATCACGCTGACGGTGCAGTTCTTCAAGTTCAGCGTCCTGATTGGCAAGCCTTCCTGGAATATTTTGTCGTGCAACACGTTCAAGTGATTGTTGGCCAGGTCGAGCACTCGCAGACGTTTCAAGGCGGTTAAAGCGTAAGGATCCAGACGGCGCAGCCCGTTATCTTGCAGATAGAGTTCCTCGAGTTCGTGCAACTCCGAGAAGGTTCTCACGGTCACGTGACTCAGTCGATTCATGCTAAGCTCGAGGAACTTGAGCGCCTGCATCGGTTGAAAAGCGGTGTCCTCGATTCGGGAGATCGAGTTGTTGGTCAGATACAATCGTTCGACGAGTAACAGGTCCCTGAACAGAGGCGCTTGTAGCCGGGTCAGCCTGTTGTGGCCGAGCCACATGATTCTGACCGAAGCTTGTCCCCTCAAGGAGTCGTTGTGCAAGACTCCGAGACCATTGTTGTCTAGTTGAATGGAAACCAACGAGCTGCCGCTGTTTCCGTTTTGTCCAACGTCGTTCGACACCTGGAACACGTCGCCCAACACCGCGAGCAGATTACCTTGAAGGTTCACGTGCTGCAAGCTGTGCAGGGACCTCAAAGCACCGGTTTCCATGTCCGTGATCGCGTTATTCTGCAGATGCAATTCCAGCAACGAGGGTAAAGGCGCGAACACGCCCCGTTTGACTTCGGTTATCTGATTGTCCTGTAGCCGTAGCTCCCTGAGCGACTTCGCCTTGGCGAAAGTACCCACCTCCAGTTCCCGAATGTTGTTCCCGTCGAGCGATAGGGTCGACAGGTTCTCGCAGTGCTCGAGAAAATCCCGTGGCACTTTCTCGATGTAGTTGCCGCTCAGATGCAACTGTGCCAATTGGCTGAGGGTGGCCAGACCTCTGGCGTCGATCCTCCTGATCGCGTTCTGCTGAAGATATACCACCGACAAGCTCGAGCTGCCCGCAAACGTCTCCGCGGGTATCTCCAGAATGTTGTTCTCCGCGAGGAACAACTCCTTCAGCTCTGGCAGTTTCGAGAACACGCCGCGAATGTAGTGTATGTGATTGTGACTCAGATCGATGGATCTCAACCTCTGATTCGCTCTGAAAGTGGATACATCCAGAGATACGATCTTGTTGTGGCTGAGATCGATCGATTCCAGATCTATCAGCGATATGAAGGCATCCTTGTCGACGAACTCGACGGCGTTGTAGTAGAGAGACAGGGTCTTCAGGGACGGACAGCAGCGAAAGCAGTTGAGCGGAATCTTTTTGAAGTTGTTGCTGCTCAGATCGAGAAAGTTTAAGGCGTCTAGCCTGGAGTAGCCGTCTTCCGGTAGCTCGGAAACCTCGTTCCAGGCGAGTCTCAAGGAAGTCAGGTGCTCCAGCCTGCGCAGGGACGTCATCGGGAACAGCCTGATTTTATTTTCGGCCAAGTCCAAGTCGGTCAACGTGCCTTCTAACCCGGCGAACGCGTACTCCGAGATTTTCGTTATCTGATTCCCTTTGAGGTTTAGTTTGATCAAAGAAAGACCGTAGAAACTGTAGCTAGGAAGCTCGTGCACGAGATTCGCCTCCAGGTCCAGAGCCTTTAAAGAATTCAAGCTGGACATTGCTTTTTGTGGCACGTGGGGCAGTCGGCCGGAAACCAGGGCCAAGGATTCCAGACTTTTTCCCAGTCTCTTGAACGCATCCTCGCTTATCTCCCGGATCGCAGAGTGCGATATTTGCAGGTGTCTGATCTGAGAACCAGCCGGAAAAGTGGCCGGTCGAAGTTCCTCCACCTTCCTGTCTAACTCGTAAACGCTTAGGGATTGAACTATCGTTCCTGGAACAATGACCAAAGACCGTGATTCGCCTGTCGTATAACGCGGTTAATCACGATTACGTAGAGTTTATTCTCATCGATTAAAATATATCTCAGAGTTATCTTCGTGGATGGAGGTATTAGAGCGGACATCGTTACACCATGGTGTTAGCGATTTGCGTGTAAAGTGCATGTTTAAATACTTATTTCATTTACCAGTTTGAGCGTTCGCTCTTTAGGCCATTTAATTAATTAATCTCTAAGCGATCGCGTTCGTTATCGAGAGTAAACTGAACTAACAAACCACCGAATCCTATTTCGTTCTTGTAAACCGAGCAAATTATAGTAAACTATTCCGTGCCACGTTATCCGGTAATGCTAAACTTTATTCGAGCAAACACGAAGCGAGACGAAGGCTAGTAGGCACTAGCCGAGATCCCTTAATCAAGAATACAATCCAAACATATTCAAACTACTATTCCGGCATCTCTGTGAGAGCAAAGCTTGCTTAGTCGAGATCTCCGGAGGAAGGACAGTGGTAGCGTAGCTAGCGGAAACGAAATCCCTTATTTATCCTAATGTATTCGCTCGTCATGGAACGTGCCACGTACCTTCTCCTTCAGCAGCGTGTATTACACCGGACAAAGCGCTCCTTAGGGACTCCTCGGTGGCACCGGCGCACTCCAGGAACAGACCGTCCTCGAAATTATAGCAGGGACAGCCGGGTATCGTGTCTGGTGGCGGACATTTCGCGCTTCTCGCCTCCTGCGCCGCCATGCAGGCTGCCAACACCACCGAATATATGAATCGAAAACCTTCTCCACCTCCGCCGCCGCCTCCACGAGTCTCGTGTCCGCCACGC